AGTGGTTTTGTATTTATTAATAATATCTACATTGGCTAATGAAAATGTTGTTTTATTTTAGAACATAAATCTTATTTTTAATATTTCGTTAAAATAATAGCTACATTTTCTCACTGAAAATGAGGCTTATTTTTGAACTTAAATAACTTAATTTTAAAAATTAGTTAATACAATAAAAACAGAACAATGTTGTTCAATGTTCAATGTTGTGCGTTTTGCAGTCGTTGCAAAATATATTCGTTTCGCTGAAAAAAAGTAAAATTAGACTGTGTGTGTGTTGAAGTAAGGTAAATACTTACAATATATCTTTGCTTAAAAAGCAGTAATAACATATGAGAGTGTCGCAGCTGGAGCAGGCTTGGCTGCATTCAATGCATACATCCTTTTTGCAGTCTTTGCAAATGCATTTATCTCCATTGCAGCATATAGATTTAGTTACAATTGCTACAGTTTTGTTTTTGGTTTCCGTCAATTTTGTTTGTTTTTTTTTTTGTCATATACAGCTTTTCTGTACGATTCATAAAAATTTGGCGTTCGTCTGCCCTTTGTTATCCATGTTTGTCTAATTTCATTAGGGAAAAGTTTAATGATTTCATCCAGCAGCTGGTTTGCTTGCGTTCTTGACATTTGTAAATCATTTTTGCAGAAATATCTCATTATTACGAGTTTTATTGTCCGGCGGTCCTGGTCTGTCAGCGGCGTATTTTCTTTTCTTTTGTTGAGGATTTTTATTTGTGATGTTTTTATTAGAATTCCTAAAGTTGTTATAACAACTGAAGTAGGTGGTACTGGCGAAACTGTTGTATTTTTATTAAATTGGTTGCTCTTCGCGTCCCAATTGTCGTCCATTTCGGACTCTGATTCGAAATACAGGCATCTTGCTGTTTGTGGCACTCGTGTCTCCTGTGATGACGATGACATTGAATTCAATGACGATGTAGACGGCAATGGCTTGGATGGTGGGGATGGCTTGGATGGTGGGGATGGTGGGGACGGTGGCGATGGAGGGGATGGCGGTGACGCCGGTGATGCCGGTGACGTCGGTGACGCCGGTGATGTTGGTGATGTTGGTGATGCCGGTGATGTAGTGGATGGTGTCGATGACGTGTATGGCGGGCATTGTGTTGATGTTGAAGTTGATGTTTTTCTTTTTTTGCTTTTTGGTGGGGAATTGGTATCCCACTCCCATGCTGGGATCTGACATAATATACAAGGAAATAAGCAAAGTAGTGAAGAGGATCGAATCCATGGACATGGGCAAAATTTGTTGGCAATTATTTGCGATGGCTGCTGTGCCAACAACTTAGCCGTATGCTTTGTCGGAATGAAGTATCCTGTCTTGTGGGACATAACCCACCTGACAAAATTGTTCTCTGGAAACAAGATTTCACCATTCACCGATCGAATTCTTAAACAGCTGTACGACGCAACTTTTACCGTTGAAAACTGGAGGGAAATATTTCGTAACTTGCCAAGCTTGGACACAGTTCCCATGAAATTTCAAACGTTTTACCCGTCAGAACTGACGAATTTGCAAAAATTGGTGGAAAGATACTATTCATACCCTCGTGAAACTGGAATGGCATTGCAATTAAACAAGGCTAACTGTAACCATTTAGAGACAACTGGTTCAGTTTAACAATGTTGTTCAATGTTCAATGTTGTGCGTTTTGCAGTCGTTGCAAAATATATTCGTTTCGCTGAAAAAAAGTAAAATTAGACTGTGTGTGTGTTGAAGTAAGGTAAATACTTACAATATATCTTTGCTTAAAAAGCAGTAATAACATATGAGAGTGTCGCAGCTGGAGCAGGCTTGGCTGCATTCAATGCATACATCCTTTTTGCAGTCTTTGCAAATGCATTTATCTCCATTGCAGCATATAGATTTAGTTACAATTGCTACAGTTTTGTTTTTGGTTTCCGTCAATTTTGTTTGTTTTTTTTTTTTGTCATATACAGCTTTTCTGTACGATTCATAAAAATTTGGCGTTCGTCTGCCCTTTGTTATCCATGTTTGTCTAATTTCATTAGGGAAAAGTTTAATGATTTCATCCAGCAGCTGGTTTGCTTGCGTTCTTGACATTTGTAAATCATTTTTGCAGAAATATCTCATTATTACGAGTTTTATTGTCCGGCGGTCCTGGTCTGTCAGCGGCGTATTTTCTTTTCTTTTGTTGAGGATTTTTATTTGTGATGTTTTTATTAGAATTCCTAAAGTTGTTATAACAACTGAAGTAGGTGGTACTGGCGAAACTGTTGTATTTTTATTAAATTGGTTGCTCTTCGCGTCCCAATTGTCGTCCATTTCGGACTCTGATTCGAAATACAGGCATCTTGCTGTTTGTGGCACTCGTGTCTCCTGTGATGACGATGACATTGAATTCAATGACGATGTAGACGGCAATGGCTTGGATGGTGGGGATGGCTTGGATGGTGGGGATGGTGGGGACGGTGGCGATGGAGGGGATGGCGGTGACGCCGGTGATGCCGGTGACGTCGGTGACGCCGGTGATGTTGGTGATGTTGGTGATGCCGGTGATGTAGTGGATGGTGTCGATGACGTGTATGGCGGGCATTGTGTTGATGTTGAAGTTGATGTTTTTCTTTTTTTGCTTTTTGGTGGGGAATTGGTATCCCACTCCCATGCTGGGATCTGACATAATATACAAGGAAATAAGCAAAGTAGTGAAGAGGATCGAATCCATGGACATGGGCAAAAATTTGTTGGCAATTATTTGCGATGGCTGCTGTGCCAACAACTTAGCCGTATGCTTTGTCGGAATGAAGTATCCTGTCTTGTGGGACATAACCCACCTGACAAAATTGTTCTCTGGAAACAAGATTTCACCATTCACCGATCGAATTCTTAAACAGCTGTACGACGCAACTTTTACCGTTGAAAACTGGAGGGAAATATTTCGTAACTTGCCAAGCTTGGACACAGTTCCCATGAAATTTCAAACGTTTTACCCGTCAGAACTGACGAATTTGCAAAAATTGGTGGAAAGATACTATTCATACCCTCGTGAAACTGGAATGGCATTGCAATTAAACAAGGCTAACTGTAACCATTTAGAGACAACTGGTTCAGTTATAACGAGAAGGAACGTGTGAGTCGCTTCTGGGGACGCGACTCTACTTATACCCGTACTCAGTCAGTATATACATTTTTGAGCATATGACTTTTTAGAATTTTAGAAAAAAAAAAATTTTACATTTTACATTTTTTTGCTACATATGATATCTACATCTACATATACAATGTATATTCTACATCTAACATGTAGATTTTACATGTTCCAATTAGATTCTACATCTCCTCCGTTAGGGGTTGCTCGCGCACTGAACGCGGCAGAATGTGCGAGCGAGAAAAAAAATGAGATGCGTTGTCGTCGGCGGGAGGGGGAGGGGGAGGGGAAGCAACTGAAAATTTCTTGATTCTGGCTATAATTATGATCCGATCTGATTCAGATTCGGCAATCTGGTAGATATGGGCATTTTCTACGATACTGCGTTTTTAGTTTTATCGTATCTTTAAAACTGTGCCTGCCACAGATTTTCGTCCTTTGTGTGGGCGGAAGGGAGCGGGGCGAAATTTTGAAATACACTTGTAGCAGTGTGATATCACATGAGTCTGGAAACCAAATTTGGTTTCTCTAGCTCTTATAGTCTCTGAGATCCAGGCGCTCATCAAGACGGACGGACGAACAGACGGACGGACAGACGGACATGGCTATATAGACTCGGCTATTGATGCTGATCAAGAATATATATACTTTATGGGGTCGGAAACGTTTCCTTCTCTGCGTTGCACACATCCACTTTTACCACAAATCTAATATACCCCTTAACTCTTTTTTGAGTACGGGTATAAAAATACTTGCTGGGAATATTATAAATTTCGCATTTCACATGGGTGAAGAAACTGAATTTCAAGAGGATGCCCTACTTTACACCACCCGGCTTGTGGGAGCTCTGGCACTACTTGAGCACTTACAAAACATAACATAAGCAAATACTGTTTAGTACCTCTTTACTTATAAAAAAATAAAATAAAATAAAATAAAATAATAAATATAAACATTTGTGTGACAGTGACTATCTTCAAACAGGAAGAAGAAGAAAAAAAGTAGTCAAAGAGGAAGAAGAAGAAAAAAAGTAGCCAAAGAGGAAGAAGAAAAAAAGTAGCACAGAGGAAGAAGAAGAAAAAAAAGTAGCCAAAGAGGAAGAAGAAGAAAAAAAGTAGCCAAAGAGGAAGAAGAAGATAGTATAGGGGATACCATGCCAAAATATACCATATATATACCGAATATATACTGACAAGTGAAAACAGCATAAAACTAATATGTCGTCGTTTTGTGGCATTGCCAGATCGTAGTTGCTGCGGGCTGCCATGCCATGATATTTTGTGATATGAAATTCGTCAATTTTGATATTCCGTTTAATATTGTTAGCTAGTTGGCGCATTCAGCCTTAAACAAGTAATTTTATCCTATTCCTCAATGAATTTTGTTTAGGATTGGCTAGTTTTAAGAACTATTTTTAATGGGATTGCTTAGATAATAGGGTTCAAACAAAAACGGCCAAAGCATAAAACGTAAATGTTGACTAAATGTGACGTCAGTGTTGCTGGTCAACCAAGTTTCTTCCATTCGTCTGTATTTTTGTATACCTTATTTCTTTTAATTGATGTTAAATGTTTTGTTCCAAGCTCCATTGAAACATTATTTATGATTTTATCCTAAATTTAGTTTGGCAATTGGCGTTGGCGTACTTGCGGAAATACTTCCCTGAAATGTGCAGCGCTGCCGTACTTGCGGAAATACTTCCCTGAAATGTGTAGAGTTGCCGTACTTCCGGAAATACTTCCCTGAAATGTGCAGCGCTGCCGAACTTGTGGAATTACTACCATGAAATTAGTCGATTATTATATAGTCGAATGGAAATCAACCGGAAGGAAGGAAAGGAAAGGAAAAGGAAATACCTGTAAGACTTTGGAGTGGTTGTATTATGTATTTTATTATTCGTATTATTTATTTGTCATGTGTTATAAGCATTTGCAGTTACAGTTGATTAGCCGAACGAGCGGTAAACCTTCTCAAATATGGCAGATTACAATACTCTCGTGTATCCTCTCGTTTTCTTTCAATATCTCTCTTATAACATACAAACTAGCAAGCAACTTGCAGCAGGTACGTTGAGGGGCCTTGTTAATAACCGTTTAGAACTAGTACCTAGTCTTACAATTAGTTAAGATATAAGTGGTTTTTATATTTCTATTAATATATGCCTACACGAGGAAGATTTCAAGGCAGGCTCGTTTCGATTTTTCCGAATTTCTCATGGCGCAAGCACTTCCCAATTAAATAATGCAACTGCCATAAAGCACAAAGAAGTTCTGATTCCATATTTGACATTAGTTCCTCTCACTCCTTGCCTCAGTAGCGCTGGCTCTCGCGATCGGAGTACTTGCCGCTCAGCTTGCTAACCGAGTACCGATCCGAATAGGCATCGTATTTGTCCGCTTTGTAGTTGATCTCCTGGGGCGTGTAGCCGATGTTCTTCTGCCAGTGACGGGTCCAGTAGAGATCCTCGTTACGCACCTGCGACGGAGTCCTGGCATCGCGGCACACATACACACAGTAGATCATGCAGCCTATCAGCGTGAGGAAGCCGAATATCAGGAACACAATGCCCAGTATCCACACATACAGCGGCTCGTAGAACTGCACCACGATGACAAAGCCCAGAGTGACCAGGATCAGGCCCAAGTTGAGCAGCAGCATCAGACAACAGACGCCCTTCACATTCGGACAGAATGGGTTCGGAGCGGACATGGTCTCGATCTTGGCGCCCCTTTTGGTGGTAGACCGAGCACTCCGTCCCGTCTTGGCAGTGCTGGCCACCGAATAGACACTACGCGGTGGTCCACGCGACACTGGGCGCTGGCTATATCGACTGTAAGAGATTTACAGCTGTTAGAAACGTTGGAAGGGAGTTCAAGGGCATTAAAGAGCTTGCCTGATCTCCGAGGGCGCCTTGTAAGCTGCACTGGTCACATAGATATCGCTGCCCCCGTCGCCGCCATGATCATAGCTAAGGGCGGAAGGTGCTCGTGGCGGTTGACGTGTGGGCGGTGGTCCGCTGAGCGAGCGTGGTCCCCCATTATCCGGGGAGCTGGAGAGGCCCATCTGACTGTGGCTGTAGCTGTGCTGCAGGTGCTGGTGGTGTCCGTTTGCGGAGCGCTTCTTCCGCGACGAGTTATACTGGGACTGTGGCGAAATGCGATCGTGGGTGAGTGTATATTCGGAGTAGGTGCGCTCGGAGGGGGCGCGATGGGAATGGGAATGGGACTCCTCGCCGTCCGTGGAGTAGCCGCGATTCGAGTGGACGTATGGTGGGTCAGGTGTGAGGCGGCCGTGAGTGGCCACATAATGGCTGCCCTTCAGTCTGTAATTGGATTGCAAATGTTATCTCAAATTGGTGGCTAAGTGGACCCATCCCCGCGACTCACTTCTTCACTTGTCTCTCGTGCATTTTGCTCTGATGGTTCCACTACCTTCTGTCTGGATGCTGGGGTACTCTCCTCTCCTGGGGCTGGCGCTGCGGTTTATCGACTGCTGGATGGTCTCGACTAGCAATTCCAGGAGCTTCCTGGAAAAAAGCAAACAGAAAATACACGTAGCAATTAGCTCATGTCAGTTTTCAACTTTTAATTAGATAAAGTTTAATTTTTCGTTTTCATATGGCTGCCACCCTGCACAGTGAACCGGCAACTGACTATTTTATACCTGGGCACGAGTTGAATCAACAACTCGGAACGTGTTGTAGTCAGTTATCCCGCAGACAAAGGACCGTAAACAAATAAGCATTCCGATAAGAGTGAAGTCCCATCCCCACTGTAACTGCAGAGCCCCTCCCTCAGGAATGTGGTTCGCTCTACCCCTGCCCGTGTCTTGCATAATTTATATCAATTTATGATGTTACTGTTGCGGCGCACCCATCCCAATGATTGGAACTGCAGTTCGTTGCACTTTTCTCAGTCCCGTTAAGCTTCCAAAAGCCACTCAAAAAGTGGCAGAAATATGTACGTTCTTTCAAGTTCAGGGCATGGAAATTTAAGGTGCCCCTCCTCAGTGTCGCCTCGCTACTCGTCCTTCGTGTGCAATTTGTCACTTGGTCACGTAGCTCTCGGTTTTTGGGTGCGACACTCTGTTGCAAGGTGACAGCTGATATGCGGGACGCGAGCGCAGTGGCTGAAGGAGTGTGGGCTGAGGGGAGAACTGGTTCTCTTGCTCCCTTGAATTCTTGATTGCATGCACACTTACAGAAGTCACAGACATATACATATACTCATATCAGCTACATATATCAATCAACGTGTAATTATAATTCTGACAACAAGAAATAGTTCCCATCTTGTAGAACTTCCACGAAATTCTTGGCGGAATAAAATCTGGAATCTTCTTCTCCAGCATGTCATTAACGCCCTACTCCAGCCTAGCCAGACAAGGCTGATGATAAAATTGAGTTATTGCGTCGATTAGGCCAATTAAAGGGTGTCGTTATCTATCGCATCGTTGTGGGCCTGGCACTGTTACTGGCACTGGTACTGGCACTGCCCCTCTTCGACTAGCCTTCTTATTATGTATTTCAACTGTGGCCAATTGCTGAGCTGAGTGCATTTACAATTGTGGCTTGCCTGGCGGTCAATCGCGATACAATTGTCAGTTGAGATCTGGATCTGTGGATCTGAGGAGGTCTACAGTAAAACTTTCAAGTTCAATGCGGTGATTTTAGTGCCTTGGGGAGTACAAAAATACACACACAGACACATTTATGGTGTGGGCGGTAACGTCGTCAAATGAAAAATCGAACCCAGATGGAGGCCAAGAATGAGAGACAGCCGACCCTTTCCTGTCTCTGTCTGTGTGGTCCCAGTGGTTTCCTTCGCCTTCGCCTCCATCTCCCATCCCATTCTATCCCACCTTCGTTTGGGGTTTCTATCACTTGGCGGCCATCAAAGCCTTTCCGTTTGCAACTCCCATGCGTCGGATTTTTACATGCCTCGCTCTACTCCCGTCCCGTCCCATTCTGTTCCGTCCACTCCGCTACGCTCGGACAGCAGCTTCATTCCATGCCATGCCACGACGCTCCGCACATTGATTTGTTTATGCGGTTTTTGGGGTTTGTTTTGTTAGGCTTGCCTTAAAGCCTTTTCCTTTTGCGGCAAACGGCAAATGGAATGCGAATGCCATTAAAATGTGTTTGCTCTCGTATTTACCTTGGCGCAGCAGCAGCAGCGGCAGCGGCAAGACCTTAACATTTAACGCCACATAAACAGCATTATAAAGCAAGAAAGCATCCAGAACCAAACGAAGGGTAATGTGGATCATTTTAGGGCTCCTTCATATACACAAATTTCGTATATGCCACATCATACATAGTCGTATAAATCTAGTATATGGCCTCATCAATATGTGTGTGGGCTGGGGGCCTCGTAAAGCAGTTTTTCTCGTCCAGGTTACATGAGATTTGCATTTTGTCGCTGGACCGTTAAAAAGTGTGGCGCCCCCCGCGTTCATTGTCTTTGATGGAGGATTTCACAACTTTCGCTGCTTCCGCTGATGCAGCGCCAACAATGGGCCAAGAGCGGAAGTCGTTGCCAACGAAACGAGAAGTTAATTTGTGGCAAATTGTGTTACACAAAGTGAGAAAATAAGACACTGCTATCGGCCGCAAAAATGCACTCCATCATTGTGGTCAAGTGTCATAAAAGTTGGACGACTTGAACTTGCCATTGAGGCCGTTGTTGTGGTCTTGGTCAGCGGCATGTAAATTTCATTGCCAGCACCGGGCAGGCACCGCGCACCGGGCACCACCATGATATTTTTTCGGGGCGCGGTTTAGAAAGTTTTCCCCAGATGCACATCTACAAAATATACGAGTACGAATACGAATACGAGTATGCATGCGTCCCACCAAACTGGGGCAAGAACTGCAGGCCACCAGCCTGCGCCTGGGACACAATCTGTAGCACTCAACCGCAAAGGCAGCGGCAGCAACAGCAGCAGCGCCTTTCACAAGTGCACCAACTGATGGGTGGGGTGGGGGGCTCTCAGACGGACGGCGGCGGATTGGACCGAAATTGCAAGTTGTAGGCTCTCAAACTGTGGTATCCCTCGTAAATCGTATCGCCACAGTGCACGGCAGTGGCCCCCAGAAGTCGCTAGAATAAATAATAACAGCCTTTATATTGTCATTTGCATTCTCTCCGAACCGAACCATATGCTGGAAGTCTTGAGATATGCATTGTACAATTACCATTCAAATAGATTCCTTTGTGTTCCCCTTAATATTCATAAATCAGCCATTGTTTAGCTATATGTAGCTATACAAAACCTTCCACTAGGAGTTTCGTGTGCCCTGCCTATTGATCGTTTTACTTTTGATTGCTTTTAGGGCTTCCAAGGCATTTCCATTATGATTTTCATGTCTAATTAGCGGATGTTATGGCCAAAAAATTTATATTTATTTTAAACTGTTATGGGTACATTAATTGCTATCGGCTTTTATCTCATCTTGGCTTGATTTAATGACTCCTGCTGCATGTTTTCGAAAATCAGCATAAAATTTGATTGCATTGTTAAAACCCAAAGCGCTTTATGTCCATTTTACCCTGGCTGCTGCTCTCAAGCGGCGTCCATTAAACTGGGGGCACCAGTGGCAGTGGCAGCCTCAGCAACCGCGAATTCTGCGCAGCTCTACGATGCGACAGGCTGCTGCGGTGTCTATCTGGCTGGCTGTCGGGCTGTCCCCCGATCTTAGACGTTAAGTAGCCGTAGCTGCTGCGCGTTAATCGCTTTTAATTGCTAAATTACGCGCTGCATGGGCAACATTGTCCAGAGTGGACAGAACCAGTGTCGGGTCGGAGTCGGAGTCATGGACTGGATGCGGCTGTTAACACGCCGCAGACTGTGGATCTGCGACTGGGCAACACTAATGCGTGTAATTAGCCGCAAAAAAAGCGGCAAGACCACTTAACTGATTTATTAAAACGTTTTTCCATTAAATTTTTAACCCTGCAGGCTATTAAAAACACTAACTCTTCCACACACACACACAAAAAGAGACAGAGAGAGCGAGAAAGACACACCGCAGACATAAAGAGGCCGCAGAGAGGAGTGGAGTCCAGCTCCATGTCTCGGTCTGGGTCTGGGTATGGTGCCTCCGAGTGGAGGCATTCCGAAAAGGGCGCGCAGACTTGAAAAATGAGCAGCGTTTAAAATTATTCTGTTCTCGCATCACAACTGTGGGGCAAATCCAGAACAATACAGAACCATAAATCTATGCTCATATAAGGTTTATCTACTACGTAGTTTAGGGAGTCATAAAAGAGAAAGGATAGGATTGCCTAAAATAAAGGCCTGGCCAGTGGCCACTGTGCCTCACTTGTGGCACTTTCAAGCTCTCAAGCTGCCTCTGCCTTTTAATCTATGGCTTTCCAGTCCAGTCCCAGTCCGAGTCCCAGTCCACAGCCAGCACCACCAACACCATCAAGAAGTTGGCCAAAAAATTCAAATGGGCGGTCAGTTGGCAAAACATTTTGACAACGTCAATGGCCATGCACAAACCCATCCGAAAACCTAAGACCCAAAAACTTTCTAGCCATAAATGCTCGCTCACGTTGTAGTGGTCGAAGGAGATTTCAGCAGCAAGGGAATGAAATTAATTATGGCCAAGTGCGGCGCTCACATTGGTCGATGAAAGTGCGATAAAGATGCCATATTTCTTTTATTAAATTTTCAGCCATTTATTTCTACACTGTTTGATGTTGGCCCCGCAGAAGTAAGCCGTTAAAATCAATGGCCCCGTCGAAAAGAATCGGACAGACAAAGAAGGTTACATTTGTGGTGTGGCCAAACAATATATTAAATCTCACCACTCGTTCGGAGAAAGTTGACTTAACGGCCTAAGCTTGGGCCCCGTACGTAATGCTTTCAATTTTTGTTTTCTACCCTTTATTTCTTTTTCGCAAACTCACTTTTAACAACAACAACAACAAATTGTGCACAACGATTTGATGTTTTTTCTGTTGTCCGTGTCCCCCTGGTTTACCCCCGGCCCTTGGGTTCTGTCTACCCGTCTACAATTGCGGCAACTTGCAAATGAAGTCAGCACCGCCAACTGCTGTTATCCAGGGTTCCAAGAGACGCCATCAAAGCGAAGGGGTACGTACGCGAGTGAGGAGTGTTGGGAAGGTCCCTTTTTTGACTACGTCACGTTTGCAACATCAATTTCAATCAACCTGACCCTGTCTAAGACCCCTACATAGTACCCTGCATACCCCCATCTAGCACTGTTACAGCTGTTTTTGTTTTTGTCTCAAATGGGAATGGCAAGTGTAGGCCGGATTTCACATCAAACGCAACAGTTGTCCCTCTGCGTAATCTCTATGACTGGCGCTGTCTTTCATTGGATTCCCAAGCTTTAGAGTTGAGCCAAACCACTTAGAGCTGCGTCAAGAACAGAGCAGAGCAGAACCGAGCAGAGCTGAGTCTTTGAAGAATTACCGAAAAGCAAAGCTCTTTTAGTGCTCTAGAATTTGCACAAAAGCTGAGCTGTTCTTTTCAAATGGAATTTAAGTTGAAGTTGATTGCCATTTGAGAGTCTAGTTTTATAGATATGTGAAGGCTATTCATCAGCTGAAGCATTCGCACATCATTAACACACTTTTCCAATGCGGATATGTGGGCGCCCGCTGTTGCCCCTTATGGGTTAATTGTGTGACGGTGTCGCCTGCCTCCAATGGGTCTGCACCGCCCTTCCGGTACCATACGTTAAATGGGTTTCACTCTGTGGCGACAGCCGAGAAGTCTTTACCAACGGGGTGCTATACATTAGAGACACAATGCTGGTATAATGGATCTGTTTAGACAGACACAAGCCATCTATGAGTGCATGTGGTGGCTATTGCTGCTGCTTGTGGCGCATTAAGTTGCTCTCTGAGCAGAACCGATACAGATCGTCAGGTGTTTCCACTTATTCAGTAACTTCAATTGTAACTGTAAGTACTCGAACTCGTGGCAAGGCAAGGCACTGCTTCTGGGCTGCTGGTTCTTAGTGCCGCGTTCTCGAGTCCGTGTGGATTCGTATCTGTGGCGCACGGTCTAAATGGCACCCGAAACAATGCGCATAATAAATATTCTGTGAGCCGTGGAGTGGGTTAGTGCTGGGGCTGGGGCTGGAGCTGGAGCTCGGGGTTAAACCTGTTCGCAGTCAGCGGCGGTGGCGGCGGCATATTTATGGGGCAGACAGACTGCGGCTGTGACTGTGGCTGCCACGGGAAGGGATACTTTGCAACATAAATACCGTTACAACTTTTGTTTTTTTTTTTTTTGTCTCTGTCTCTGTCCCCGTCCCCGTCTCTGTTTCTGGGTTTCTTTTCTTTTTTTTTGGCCATGGGCTTGAGCCGCACTAGACTTGCTGTGCCTTGGGTTTATGTTTATTTCGGCTTCATTAATAGTTCAAATAACTGCACAAGTGGCTCGTGGAGCCATCAAATGCAGCCAGTCCCACTTAGAGAGCGACTATCTTATACGACCCCATAAAGTTAAAGTCTGCGGTTGTAATCTATTGATCTAGAGATCAAATAACAAACAAACAAACCAACAACCACACGTACGAGTATTTCATTGCATTCATTTCGATTGCACAACTGGCCAACAAAACGTGTTGACAATATCCGTAAATACACTTGGCAAAAAAAAAAATAAAAAATAGCAAAAGAAAAATGCAAACCTTAAATATCAAATAATAAGCCAATTCCCGTTCCCCCAGCAATCGACACATGTGTCGTATGGAGACCAGATCATGGCTCTCCACATCCACCATTAACATCCCGGCGTCCATTCGACTCTGGGCCAGCTTGCAACGATAGATGGAGACTGGCGGCGGCTGCGTTTCGTTTCCCACGCTTGGCGGCTGCAGCTGCTCCGATCGAATTCGATCCGATCCGATCCGACGACGATGCCGAGAATGCCCAGTGCTGCACCAGCGGTGCCTGGCGGATGCCAGTATTCTAATGCGCCCGGGACACGGATAGAGATTAATTAATATTGCAACTCGTTAAGCGGCAGAATGGTTTCTTCTTGTTACTTTGGCCATTCATTGTTTCGAAGCAGGAAATTCCAATACAATTTTGTACCAGAGTGCAGCCCGATGACATCTCCAAGTAAAATTGGATTCATGTGAATTTTTGATGACTCGCCTCTCGCCTGAAGAAGATCTCTTGCTATCCATAAAAAGCGTACAAACTATTTATGTTGAACCCAACGAATGTCCGCTAAATATCAAACACAATCTTGAGAGTTTTTTGGCTTTTGTTTGTCGGATATAGTTTTTTTTTTTTTTAGTTTTTTTCGGTTTGTTTTTTGGTTTTCTGCCTTCAAGGTCTTGTGGCGGCGGCAAGAGCAGACAGCGATTTATGAGAGGGGTGTTGCCTTTTATAATTTGCCAAAGTTATTATTGTTGTTATAGCCCCCTGATGATTGTATAATATTTGCCTTTTGCTCGCTATACATATATAATTTCGTAGCTGGTAACGTGGAAGATCTCTGTGGGCGTAGACTCTCGCTCTGGCTGTGGCTCTGGAAAATACTTTAATGTCAAGTGTGGCTCACAGAATTTCAGTGGCTGTGTGGCATTGTTACGGCTTAAGGCACTCGAGAAGCCAAAAAACTGTGTGTTTTCAACAAGTTTGGTTTTTTCCCTGATTGCTTTTCTGTTTTCTACCACATTCCATCAAATGCTGTTCATTCAATTAGATGTTGAAACAGAGGACGTTGCCATAACTCTGCCATACGGCCTGGTTACGGGTCTGTCCTCTCCTCTCCTCTTCTGTTCTGCTCTCTGGCGGGTGGGATGGTGGTTCAGTGAATTATGATTTGAACATTAAAGAGCTTGTGTGCATATAGAGAGGTCTGGCCTATTGTTTGCCTATTTCTAATTGTTTCCTCTGTTGAGCAGCAAAATTCGAAATGTGTTTTGCTTATTTATAGGATTTCGTTACGGTCTTTGTTTTTCCTTATGCGGCGGGGGATAAATGTCTGGGTAAACACACATTTACGAATATACTCTTAAGTTTAGTACAAATACTTGTAACGTTGGAGAAATGGAGAATTTCGTGAAGTGCCACAATCCTCTCAAGTAACAATTCAACTGTATGACATTCAAGTATATAATCGCTTAATTAATTACATTTCCCTTAGAGATTCTTCTGTTGCTTCGAATCTTTATAAGCCATCATATGCCTGAATATCTAAAACGAATTTCGACTCTTTTGCTCATGTTTTTACCTGCACATTCAGCAAACTGAACATTTGCAAAACCTGTTTATAACACTGATTCAATAAGCATTCAACTTAGCATCGATCTGCGGTTCGATCCAATGATTTATATAGCCCGACAGCATGGCGTGGAATGTCAGAGATATATTTTTTTGTATAATTTGCACGCAATGAGTGTGCAATGCAATGCAAACGACACGAGGCATTAATTACATATGATGATGTCATCATCGTCATCAGTTTCGTTGATGATTTCAATTGGTGGCAGACTCTGGCTCTGGCTCTGGCACTGGCACTGGCAGCAAATGCTGCAAATGCAAAGACAGCTACCAGAGCACCCTCTCAAATGTCAAATGAAAGTTGCAGCAAATCTAACATCTAACATCTCACATATGGTGATGTTAATCATACGTACGTGTGTATAAGAGTGTGTGCAGCATGTAATCTCAGTTGGTTTTTGCCGTCTGTCAGATTCACACGCAAACAAAACTCAGGAAGATTGCACAAGCAGTCTGCACAAGTAGAGTGAAGATGGAATTATTTAACTCAATTTTATATAACCGACGCTTGCCAGTCGAGTCGGTGATTAGCACTGATTGATTTGTGTTTTTTGATGGTCGCTGAGCATTTGCATATGCACGTATCGTATTTAGTTACTGTGGGCTGGCTTCGAGCCAAATGATTGGCTGTTTTCGATGAGGTTAACACGCACACGCATCTTGTACAGCCGCAAATTGGCCGTTTAAAAAAGACAGCATAAAAGAAACCTGTCTTCGATTAACCGCAATGGCAACAGGAGTATTACATAACTTTCGCTGCATCTTGTGAATCATGGTCATACCCCATACTACGGCTATGCTATGGCAAAAAGTTGCACATCGGCACATCTGCGAGTACATCTCTAATTGTTACCGCACTCAAAACAATCACGAATACAACTTTAGAGTTGACCCGAAAAGACACAACAAAATTATCAAAATTATTATCAAAAGATTGTCATCAGGCAGAAGTAAAAATAAAATAAAACGAGCCAGAGAGAGAGAGAGAGAAAAACAGAGAGGGACACTTGGCCCCTGGCGTTGGTTTTGAATTTCTAGATGCTGCCGCGGCCGCTGCCGTTGCTGTTTCTGTTGCCCGTCCTCTGTGCAACTTTTATTGGATGGTAAGCGTGCTAAGCATGGCTGGCTCTTAACCATAAACATGGCCAGCGGCTAAGACACGAACAAAATAATACTAGTCTCCACAACGGCACAGCAGAGAAAAATAACCAAACCAACAGCAAGTTCTGTTATGCACAGTGGGTCCGGGCCCCTAACTATGGGAGCTGCGCTCCGACCAAAGATAAACTATTTGGAAAATGCTTTTCATTGTGCTGACTAGCTGACTAGCTGTCTAGCGTATGATAATATCTTCTGCTGGAGTTGTTAGGTAAGGGCTTACATCAAACTCTTTTCTTGGATTTTCCTTTTGTCATTCAAAGTAAAAGAGAAAGCAATAAATTATATGGCCATATCCATGTCTGAAACTATTAAATTTCACTTATTGATCTATTTGGTATTGTCATTTTTACAGGTCCAGCACCGGCTCCAGCTTCAGCATTTTTTAAGGCAATCTCACGGATTGCAATTGGCAGCATATGACCAAAAAATTTGGATGTTTCACTGAAGTTTCGATACCCTTACGGGGGTTTGCTTCCGCATTTGTAGGCCAAATGTATCTTTGTATCTGCCATAACAAAGTTGGACTTGCCAGGGTCGAATCTCTGCTATGTTGATCCTTTGATGGGGTAGCATCTGCTGCTCTGACGAATGACATAATCGCTGGCGTGACATAAAGTGAGGGAGCGAGGGGCCAACAAACTGGGCCATAAACAAAGAGCGAATCGTGCCCATGCTCGTATAAGGCGAATCTCTGACTGGCCAACGTTTGTTGACTCTTTCAGGGTCAACGGGTGCGTAATCAATGGATGGAGTCGCCCACGCGATATCAGTTCAGGTGGTTCAATGTATTGCGGAAATCGCAACCAAGAAGCAGCGGAGTGAAGGAAACCACCCAAAGATGCTCAAAATGCAATTCAGTTTTGGTCAAAAACAAATTGAAGGTAAATAAATAAGTTAAGGTATACAGACGTACGCAGTACGTACTCTCTGTAGTCCCACACATACACACATATATACCCCCCCAATATATATACAATTTTTATATGTATTTCTCTATAAAAAAAAACTGGCTTACCTTCTCTCCTCATTGTTATACAGTTCGACTGGAGTTGTTGTTGCTGCTGTTGCTGCTGATGCTGCTGCTGCCGCTGCTGTTGCTATTGTTTCGCTTATTTATTGTTAACGCTTTTTGCCAGCCAGAGCGACAGGTTGTTAGTGTGCCCCTGCTGCCGCTGCACACATTTCATTACACTTCACTTGAACTGTTTGTTGCACAGAGCACTGGAGACCGAAAAGCAAGCACAGAAAAATGTCAAGAAATATTAATTTAAATATACATATACATATATAAATATAGGCGATGACGTCGCCTCTATCTATGCATCTATTCGTTGGTGTGTGCGCCAGTGCGAGTGTGTGGGCCAAAAACCTTTACTGGTTCTGGCCAAAATGCCAGCCAACACGTTGCTGGTACGTACAGACATACTGAGGCACATACAGAGGAGGTGTATGATATAATCGCTGCCATGAATGAATGAATGAAAGGCGTTGCAGCTTCTCGCACAGGCATTTCGGACCGGGGCCCAACACAATGGCCAAGACTTGGCGAGACCCAGACCCGCCATGGACTTCGGAACTCGTCTAACCAAACTCAAACTCTAAAATCTTCTCGTCCCAAACTCTTTCTGGGGCTGGAGCTGGGGCTGGTGGTGAGGCTGGCGGCAGCACAGCAAATTGCAGCGCCATAATGAAATCGCCCATAATCTTGGCTAAGGCTAATAATAGCAGCAGGTTTTGGAGCTGGCCAACACACACACACACACTGAGAGGCACTCGTACACACACACACAGAAGCAAACAGCTACAACAGATTTAGCCAAATGGTTAGCAAATTTGGGTATAACTCTGTTTGTTCTTTTGCCCCCGGATCGGGCGTACACTTCACGCAACAAATTCAAATGACACTCACGTAATATGCTAAAAATAGTGGAATTTATTGCGCGATTTTCGTGTGTACGATTCTGCTGTTGTATTGTCGGACCGACAGTTTACCGATCGGACAGATCGGCTGGCTCTCCAATGCACACCGAAGTCGTAGGCCGTAGTCGAAGCAAACGCGACGCGATCTCAGCTTGAACTGATCTTCGGAGCGCACTCGCGCACCTGTGACGACTGCTCCAAAGCGCGAGTGGAGCTTTGATCAAAACCGGTTGCACTCTTCTGTTTACTCTCTCATCAGCTCTTCGTGCGCTCTGTTCGTGGGATCTCTCTCCTCTCTCTCCGAACTCTCCAGCTCGCTTGCTCTCAGTCTGTCTTTCTTTCTACGGGGGGACCCAACCGGTGCCGGTCTCCCCCATCTGCACTTTGCACTTTCGGGCTCTGCATTTTGTTGTCAAACTGCAAAAACTGCATTTAATAACCGTTAACCGAAAGTTCTGCAACACGTGCAACGCCACTCACTCCATCCAAAGGCAGTTGGGAGAGGACTGGGACTGGCACCTGGGGAAAGGGGCGTTCATTGGAGGCTTACTACATTAGGCTTCATGGCCTGTCAGCCTCCACCACTTTGGGCCGCAGCTGCCGCACGTGACTGCTGGCTGGATGGCTGCCTGGCTGGTTAGAGAGCATTGGGGGTCAAGAGTCTGGAGTGGGGGGCCTAATTTGCATCATGTCATTAGGAAGAGTGGCATCGATAATGGGGCCAGAGTCTATGGTACAACATTTGCCCCTTTACGAGGTCTGAGGTCTGAGCACTCTCTGCATTTATGGGCATATTCAAAATATGCACTCATGTAAATAAAAGTTGGGATGCAAATCAGTTCGCGGCTAGCCCCCTTTGAAAGCAAAAAAAGGCTTAAATAATATGGCGAACTTTGCATTTCCTGTCGGCCAGTCCAGTTTTCTTTTCGTGCATCATTTAAATGCAGCAAAAATGCTGGCATAAAAATATGCATAACCGGAATCTGAATTGCTATTTGTGTGTGTGTGTGTGTGGATGTTACTTCAATGTCAATTGCGGGGCGGGGGTAAAAACAGGCAAGTGGCAGCTTCCACTTCAAGTAATTTTTTGTGTGGGTTGAAAAATGCATAGAGAAGCAGCAGCAGCGGCAGTGAAAGGCAGCCCAGGGCTTGCAGCTGGAGCTGGACCTGGAGCTGGTCTCTTGTCTTTCCAGCCCTCGCAGACGTGTTCGCCTCTGGTATTTTTTTTATTGTCTTCAGTTTGTCACTCTTTTCGTTTTGGTATTTTTCTTAGCGGACCCGTTACTTCTTGCTTACGGTACACATCAGGCGGCGCAGCATGAGATGATGTCCTGACGTCTGGATGTTTGTTGTTTGGAACTGCAAGTCGTAAAAACTTTTCTTCGGCTGTGTGTGTGTTGGTGCCATAAAAGTTGCATAAAACTGCACAGATTTTCCTAGTGTTGTGTGTCGTGAAAAAAGTTTAGGATATCTCTTAAATATACACGCACAGACATGTCTCAAAGGATCGCTTTAACATGACCCTTGCCGTACTGAACCTTAAAACGCGAGTCATTTGTACGTCATATGCAGTAAACTGGCTCCCAACAAAAGCCGGAGATGGGGTCGGAACTTGGCATGTGTCAGGATTTAATTTAGATAAAAGCTTTTTCCACACTTTCACGCTGCCACTTACTGAGCCGTGACGATGGCAGGAACCGACCTTTGACGTGCAACACACATCCGCGTAGCGCTGCCTCAAATCAATTCCATGAACATTTTGCCTGCCGCAACCTGCCGAGGACGGGACGACAATTTGTCTTAATGCCAAGTTAGACATATGGATTGATTCCAGCTTATCAGAGACGAAACAACGATTGCACTTCCTAAAGGATAAGCTGATTGAAAGGGTTTCTTTGTCCATTTGACCATTTATAGAGTGTGTTCCCCACCCATTTGTTAACTGCATTTTCACTTTAATTATTCATTGACATTTATTGATTGAATTTGATAATGTTTCTTTCTGCAGCATTTTGTTGGATTCACATTAAATAGGGTTTTGCTCACATTTTGGATTTTGATTTGATATTAGCTGTTGCACAGTTGACACACACACATTTACATACATATGTACTTAGGATTAGTTAGGATCGTTTATTTGCGGTGTTTTTTGTTCGCTTGCTATTCAGATATTACTTAACGGAGGGGAGCTTAGGAACCTGAATTGTGGCCCGTTGTTGGTATTTGCAATACACACACATAAATATTAATGTATTCACATTTAAAAAAAACTATATGCCACGTATCCTTGCTGTTCTTGCTATTACTCATTAAAATATTTTTATCAAGTTTCGGCGGTAGAGTGTTTTTTGTTTGTTTGTTTGTTTGTTTAGTAGTTCTGTCTTGGCTTACAAAAAATACAACAGTTTAAAAATATTGTACCTATATTTTCTCATTTCTGTTTTCTATTTAAATGTGTATGGTATGGGGGGGCATTCGTTTCTGTGTAAAAGTTTGAAATAAATAAATATTTGTAACGTGTATGTATAATCGACAATATCTTGTAGTAGTTAGCTGTAAGCTTGGTTTTTTATTTCTGTCTGCTGGTTGCTTGTATATATAGCAATCAGAATGTATTTGCATTGTACTATATGCATGTAGGAGGGCTCTGTTGTAGGTTCCTTTGTTTTGTGTTCTATATTCTGTAACTAGCACAACAATTGTACATTCAAATATGTATATTATATATATGTAGTTATATGTAGATACCATAGTATGGTATAGTAGGTATACACTCATGTATGTTTTGGCCTTGATTTTTCTTGCATATTCGTATCGTATGTTCTGTTTTTGGTTTGGTTTGGTTTGGATTGGTTGTGTTTGTGGCAAATGCGTTTGGTCTCTTTGGTTTGGCCAAAACTTTCGCATATTTGTATTTGTATATCAGTTTTCACTTTTTCTCTTCTTTTCGGTGTCCGATTACGCTTTATTTTATTTTAGTTTATTTTTTTGGTAGTATTTACTCTTTAGCTAGTGCTAGTAACATGAATAATTTAATTGATTTCATTTGATTTATTCTTATTGTTTGCGTGTTTGCACATGCGTTGTTTGTGTGTGTGTTCGAGTTTGTCTATTCGATATAGGAAATTATCATAGGTACACATATCAACACAGTAGTTGTGGGTTGGTTAGTACGGCAAACATTTACCTATATATTTACGAATAATCGTATTTTATTCAATTACGTTTTCATCAACTATTTCTTTTAGCTGCACAAAGAGCCTGGAAGAGAGAGAGTAGTTCTGTCGGAGAAGAGCTGTTCAAAATAACAAGTGCTTTTGGAGATATTTGAGTCACAGGAAAAGGAAAATATATATAGTTGCAGTTCCGCAATGACACATTTAGCATATACTCGTAGAAATTATAATCATACAGCGTTGATTCTACTTCGATGTTTGTCTCCTGATCTTTGTCGATGTCTTGGCGATGGCAGACCTTAACCGAAGTTGAATGAAAAAAATCAAACTAAAAACGCAACGTAACAAAATCGAACTGAATAAAGTAGTTTCGAGAGCTCAGATCAGGTAAAGGCTGTGCAAACATACAGAACCAAAAATAGTTGATCTTACTAACTAAATACTTGCTGCACATTCACTGATTAATTATTTATCCATATATGTATGTATATATTAATATTTATATTTTTGTATGCCATAATACTCGTTCGTTTTGTAATTAACATTCATGAAGTGTCTGTCGTCCGGTGTTTCCCGCTGAAGTTCAGTGTAAATATTAAAAATAGCTTGTAATTTGACTTGGATTTTCTTTGCATTTCTTTTCTTTTGTTGTGCATCATACAAACATGTCTCCCATCTTCGTATCGCGTAGTTTTAGTTCGCTTTAGTTTTTCTTCGCTTAAAATTGTCCTCAGCCCCGACCGCTGATGCCTTTGCCAAAGGTATAAAAAGTTTCTTTTTGCTACAGTTTAAAGTTAAGAGTTACAGTTCCAACAATCCCCTCATTATTCATAATATACTACTCGTACATACAATATATGTAGCTGTGTGTAGGAGGTATATGTTTGAGTTTCTTCTTTATAGAGAGACCATTGTATATAGTACAAAATTTACAATAGAAGCGAGACCTTCTTCTTCCTCTTCTGGGTACAAAAATCAATTCGGGATGGGGTTCTAGAGTAGAGTGGAGAGGAGTGTGTGTGTTTGTGTTTTTTTTTTTGGGGAAAAAGCCCTAAGTTGTGTATAAGCAAAAGAGCTGAAGGCTGCTTCTCTGGGGAGAGCGTAGGGTAGGGGGGACAAGCGTGTGTGTATCTAATAAATTTATACAAAATCTGTGCTCAGAAAATAGTTTACAAATATACTTTAGACTTAGTTACACTGTCCTTTGGGCGTGATATAAATTGTATACACCATATACATATATCTTCAAACATACATACATACATTTATATATATATAGGTATATATTATAAATAGCTTTCTTTTATATGGTTAAGTGTTTAGAGTGTGTGTGTAAGGGAGGGAGCCGGGTTTTCAAAGAAGCTCGGAGTTTTTATTTTTTGATTGTTTCTTGGCATATGGTAGAAAGGAGTTTGCATTTTGCCCCATTCATAAATGTATATATTGATATATTTCGTATAGTTTAAATTGACCCAAAAAATGCTGTGTGGTGTCTATCCCAAGTTCCGGTAATCCGAAACTCCTTCATTGTGTCCATGTTAAAAGTCTTCAAAACGCATCTGGGTGCTGGAGTAGTAGGTATCTCTAGTGTTGTGTCTGTATCTGTGATCTGCGTCTGTGTATATTCAGTGTTTCGTGAGTTTGATTTCTTCTAATAAATTTTCATTAATTGCCTAATTGTGACAACTTCAGCAATACATCATCAATACTACGCATCTACATATTGTAGGTCGTGCTTAGTTAGTTAGTTTTTTCTTTACTTATAATTTTGTTCAAGCAACGTTTTGTGTAGAGCAGGGAATGCATGTCATGTCCCATTTACTTGTTACTTTTGCACCATTGGAATTTCATTTCGATTTCGATATTTCGCTAACATTTACAAACAGAAGAGAAGAATGGTGGGTAGGGGAGAGGGGTGGGGTGGGGTGATTGGAGTCTTTGTCAAACAACTAGATTAAGTACAATACATACAATGCTGGTTTGGATACAGTTTACGAGTAGCTTTTGGTTAAGTTATCCGCCATCAATGCAATTACATTGCACGATCCACCACAATTTTCAAACTTTTATCTCTTCAAATACACGTTTTACAAACGGTTCGCTCTGTCCTTCCTGTCCTGTCCTGTTCTGTCTGATCCTGTCCCTGTTGTTCTTTAAAATCAAGTGATAAATCGCGCCTTTTGTTTGCGCACAAAGTCCTGGGCCTGTTTGTCATTGACGCGCAGCTCAAGGATTTGCAAAATGGGATTGCCTTGTAGAAAATATGAAATGGCATCGAAAGAAGTTCGTTATCGAAAGGAAAAAATGCAACTTACATTTATCCTTTTGCTGCATGAGGGGCAGCTCGATCTGCTTCAGGCCATGAAAGTTGTCCACACTGGTGCTGTAGGCCTCCACGCCGGGTATGTTGCCCAGAGCCAGGTAGGCCTCGCCGCCGAAATCATTGGCCGTGAGGACATCGTGATCCATGACGGTGAAGCAGATCATGGCGCCATCGGTGAGGCATTGCTCCAATGTCACCGAGAACTCAAAACACTCGTCGAAAATGGGATTCAAAGTGCGCTAAGGAAAATATAAATGGAACTTAAACATCATCCCTAAGATGGGAGAGAGAGAGAGAGGAATCTCACCTTGTGGACATTCGTCTGCTGCTCCATGCAGTGCAGGAAGACCCTTCGTGGCAGCAGCTCAATGACCACAAATGGATCACTGAACCCATTCGGATCCAATGGCACCACATCCCTGGCATGCAGAACCTCCACACACAGAGAATCGTGATTGAAGTAGGCCCGCACGGCCAGCGAGCCATACGGACTTGGACACACGGTCATCAGTTGCTCCCGCAAGCGATTCATGTAGAACATGTCTATGAGCCGATCCGTGTCCGTCTTGTGGAACTGCAGCCGCTGCTCGATGCGCCAGAAGTCATCCGTGTGCAGGCACTCCAGCAGCAGGCCCTGGCCCTCGGCATGAAAGAAGTCCACCAGCAGCTGTAGGGCCTCGTAGAGCCGCTTGTGGAAATGCGTGGGCTTGTCCGTCTCATCGCCCGTCTCCATTTGGCGGGACATCTCGCCCAGAACCGTCTTCCAGATGAAGCGCAGCGATCGGTTGAAGTTCTTGGTGAGCAGGGCGCTGTTGAGGGCCGCCAGGTGGCAGTCCAAGTACTCCAGCAGCGGCACAATCGCCTGATTGGCCGGCAAGGAATCTGGTGACCAGGCCAGATGGAACATTGCCTTCTGCAGCGACATCTGCATGAGCGGAGCCAGCTTCGAGAGGATGCGCTCGGTGCGGTTCTCCATGTGGGTCAGGCTCGACTCGAGCAGGTTGTCGGCCGACTCCTCCAGTGGCTGTTCATCCGAGCGGAACTCGGCCAGAGTGCGGCGCACATACTCCACATTGTTCACGGTCACGCACATGTCGTCCGAGCAGCGGAACGGACCCTGCTGCTCGTAGTAGCCGCTGTCTGCCAGCGCCGTGTGAATGAGGTCGCAGTAATGCATGGCCGCCGAGCATACCACATCGATGAGCTGCGACTCCAGCATGATGGCCGTGTCCTCGTCCGGCCAGTTGATGACCTTCCAGAATTCCTTGATGTTCAGCAGCGTGCTGGCCGTGTCCACCGAGGAGCTGCTGTACCTAACGATGCGCTCGCCCTCACAGATGGCGTCCATGCGGATGGCTGCTCGGATACGCTGCAGGGCCTTCGCCTTGCTCACCATCATCCAGCGCTCAAAGGTGGGGATGAACCATTCGTGGCTGTTGCTCAGGGCCAGCGGCTTCTCCGGCGGCTGGGGCTGGGCGGACAGGTGTCGTTTCAAATGACAGAACTCCTGCAGAGCCAGAAACAATTCAAACGGCTTCGTGTCCACCGGTTCCGCATCGCCCTCGAGCACGGCATACTGCGACAGGTTCATCCGCACCCCAGGCACCTGGCCGGCGGCCATGCGGCTGTACAGCTCCTCGCCCACCATCGCATCGTATTGTTTGTAGATAATGCTAAAGTATTGGATGCCATTCGTGCTGTGGAGGAGACAGACGGAGGAGGAAGATGGAGTTTAAATGTAGTTCCGGCGGCAGACAAATTATGGCTCTCACTTTAAAGCGAGGAGAAGCCGCAATTAGCACGGAACGGACAGACCCTGGCTGTAACTAAATTTTTGCTAATGCCTCTCCACTCAACACTTTCTCTGACAGCTTCCGGACTTGATGTTTGTTAAATGCCTCATCAGGATGCTGTGCGCCCTGTCCTGTCCTGTCTTGCCCTGTTCTATCCTTTCCTGTCCTGTGCGCCGCTTGGGGCAGCAACGTGAGAGCATTTTTATGACAGTGCAATTAATTTAAGGCTTATGTGTGTAAGCCACTTGATGTCCTCATTAAGGTTCTTTTATGGCCCCGCTAACTGGCAAATATGTGACTGATTAGTCCGCCCTGGTAGGCCAACGATGCGGAACTATGCATCCAGAAGTGTGGAGCGGTTATGAGAGGCTGTTCCGCTGGCGTTTAATGGTGTAACGTGATCTGTATCGTTCGGTTGATCAATATATTACTTCATTTACGAGATTCTAACCACTATGGAGGGCAAGGGCGTTCCCTGAGGGAACTATCTGCAACCTTCGCATGAGGATTCCACTACTCTGTGAGTGCTAGGAGTACCCTGAGCAACGCTACGGGCCATCTGTCATGACAACATTTTGTGGCCCTCATTAAGGCTCGTTAGCTTTATGAGCTTTGAGTCGTCGTGGCACTTGACAAATGCTCAAACTGATTAGAGAGCAGCGACTGTAAAGTGGTTCGCCCCCGGGCGCCGATTGCGGATAAGTTCAAATCGAAATGACGTCAATTCAATTGGGTCAACACTGGTCGGGATAGAGAGAGAGAGTGCAGTGCGTGGACACAGGACACAGGACCCAGGACCGAGGACCGAGGACCCAGGACCTCGCTGCTTGTTTTCCTAAACTGCTTTTCGTAATGTTATTTGTAGAGTGCCAGGCGGGTGGTTGGATACCTTGCAGCTTGGTTTTATGGGCGACACGTGTCCGGGATACTTAATCTAATGCTGGGCGGAAGCGGTAACTAAAACAACTGATACGGAATCCTGCGAGTACTCACTTGTCGAAGAGGGCATGGTAATACGTCTGTCCCAGCTGGATGTCGGCCGTTAATGTTGTTACGAAGTTCGATAATGGATTGGGCAAGCATTGCGATTCGCGTAGCACATTCTGGCCCCACATGATGGAGCCCTTGCGCAGGGCATTCACCACCTCGCCGCGTACGCCCTTGTTGAAGGGGCAGACGGCCCGAAACGCCCGCATGGAGCCGAGCAATCCCAGGCAGCGCAGCAGGAACTCCAGGCGTATCAGCGAGGGCGGATTCAGGGCCGGAAAGATGTCCCTGTGCCGTCGGATCTGGTTCAGCGAACGCTCCACAAATCCATTCATCGCCTCGGCCAGCCACTGCTCCAGATCGCGGCTCAAGGCCTCCTGATTGGGCTGATTCCATTGCTTCTCCACATCGCCAAGCAGACGGTGGAGGAATTTCGGGTCCAATGGCGTCGATCGATTCAGCTTGGCAGCAGCCACATATCTGAAAGGAAAAAAGATTTATGGCTCGAAAAGGTTGCTTCTGCTTCCCTTTTCGTTGGATAACCCACCTGGCCATGGCGCAATGCAAATCCGATAGATCCCCCTGTACAGCCAATTGATGGAGTATGGTGAGGGCCGGACCAGGCAGATCTCCGCACCAAGTCCACGAGGGCTCGTGGGTGGTCACCTCGTGCTGCATGAACACCATCTGCAGCTGTTCGACCTTGTGCATCTGGTGCTCGTGATTCTCCTCGACGATATTGCCCCGATCATCGCGTGTCGAGAGCCACAGCTTGAGACGGATACGTCCCTGCACGGTGCTGCGATGGCTGCGTGCCTCCAGCTTGAACCAGGCATCCAGGCCCGTTGAGGGTATATCCGATATGGCTATATTCACGGAGCCCAGAAAGTCGTCTTGGGAGCCCTGACGCGCCGACTGGCAGACCTGCTTGAAGAAACGCCCCAAACCGCGCACGCCACGAACTTCGTTCAGTCGCGAGACGGCGTCCAGGACGCAGCTTTCGTCATCGTGGTCCCAAATGTCCAGGTGAAAGGTGTCCGTGTTGATGTCATCTATGTCACTATGGCGGCGACAAATAGAAGATGGCGATTGTGTTAGCTCCGAACTCTGTTTATGGGTACCCAACCATTATAATATCTATAATATATCCTGTGGAAATGCTTGTTGCTTTCCATTTTTTTATGTGTGGGTGTGTGTGTTTTCAAAGCTCTTACAAATGTTAGCATGTGTTTATAGATTTCTTGGAATATGACCCCGAGCTTTGCTGCTTCATTTAATTTATTACAAGATTTATATTTTGCTTTTAAATTGGAAATACTCTGCTGACGGAATATTTACCGGAAAGTACTCGTTATAAATAGGGGGACCTCTGCAATTTTCCCTAATGTACCAAATATTTATGTATTATAATTGAATGGTTTCATATTTCATATCTGAAAGAGCTTGAAATGTCAATTAATCGTAATTGGACAGGATAGCCAGGGATCTGGCTATGATTAGAATTCCTAAGGGGAGTGAAATAATCCCTTTAGGTATTTCCAAGGCTGTCCCTATTTTAAGAGTGTATCCAAGCTTCGACTTGCCTTAGTTATGGCCCTCTTTCCGTTCTGTTTTATTGCAATTGCAACATAAATTTGATTGCATTTCTTATGGGGCATCTTTCACATGCATTTGTGTTTCAATTTGATGGTGAATTTAAATGGATTTCTTTTCCTTATTGCTTACAACTCGTAAATTACGTTCGGTGCTTGGGGGATTCGAATCGTTTAGCATGCGACAGAGATATTTTCTGGTTGTTTTTCGCCTTTTTCCGGCCCGAGTGTGAGCCACATTTATCAACCAGTGAAGCGTAAATGAAGCCTGAAAACCCACTTTGCTTTTGTAGATGAAATTTCAAGTATTTTCAAGTTTGGGAAGAGCGCGGCAGTAATTGAATAATTCTTTACAAATCCCCACCATTAAATGTGCCGTGCCCCTCCATTTGATTTGGCAAACAATTTCAAATGGTCCCCCACTCCACTCCTCACTCTAGTCCTGTCCATTTGATTCACTTACAATTTAAACTTCTCGTTCCATTTGGGGGTCAGCGTGTGCGGCTTGATGCTGGTCGCCTTGATGAGCTTTGCAGGCACCGGGCCGCCCAGTGAGTCGCGCTGCTCCCGTCGACCCGCCTCCCGCCGCTTGAAGCTCAGCCGGAAGCTATGCTTTCGGTGCGGCGGCGAATCCGTGGCGCTGTTGTCAAAGCCACCGCTCATGTCCGCCGATAGGGCGCGCGGTGTCGGCGGCAGCGGCAGCGGCGACACGGGCGGACAACCGTCACCGTCCGGCTGGATGCCCAGCATGCAGTACGGATCCGAGAAACCTGCGGGGCCAATAAATAATTGGATATACAGAAGCAGAAACAGAGGGCCACAGAGAGTGAGTGTGTGTGTCAGTGGAATAAGTGATGGCAAGGAAAAGGAAAAACAGATAGAGAAAGAGAGAGGAAAGTGAGAAATGGTGCTGTATTAATGAAGTGCTCGCCCGAATGACATTAAATAACAATTAATGGGGCTGCCCCCCACGGGTATCGGGGACAGACTACGGTGTCAGCTGGTGCCATTCACACATTGCGTATGATTAACATTTCATTTGCATAAAGTGCCGCTCAATTATTAAGTGGCCGTGATTAACGCACGGGGGCCATCGGCCATCGACCATTGGCCATAAATGCAGAACAGATGCCGAGTGCCAAGATTAAGATTATTTATGAAGAGCGAAAAAATGGTCGCAATGGGAATTGTCATTGAGTTTTGGGTAAGAGTTTAAGGTGGGACTCCATCCAGGATCTGTACCGAAATCAGTTCAGCTTCTGGCTGAGGATTGCGCCTGTAAAGCGATTACCGCACAGAAATTGCTCATTTGGCATTCGGATTTGTACATGGAGCAGCAGCAGCAGCAGCACTCATTGTAATGACCAATTGTGTTACTGGCTTTCATGCTTGACCAGGCCAAAGGGAATCAATGGCTGCTAATGAAAACTGAGCCCGAGCCGAGCACCCGATTCTCCGCTTTGGCAGCTTATTTGCCAATCGAGAATGGCCCAAACAAAGGCCAGTCGCCTGCTCTCATCGGCCATGTTTCATTGGCAACGAGTTGGTTGTTTGCCATCTGCCCTCCACACTCACTTACACTCCTGCCTGGAATATTCTGCCACCCACTGACTCCTGCCTGCTGCTGCTGTTCCTTCTTCTATGGCAAGACGGAAGCCGTCATCAGTACATTTAGCAGATGGCAGACGGCACTAACACTGCACTACTAGGACTGGGCAGGAGCAAAAAAAAAATGCTCAAACAGAAGTAGAAGTAGACGAAGGAGCACTCAACGTATTCCTTACACATCCTTGAGCACATTAAAATGCGAAATTGCGTTGCCTTCGATGTGGCTGTGGCAAACGGAGGAGGAGCACCAGCTCATGCTCCTAGTTCTGGTTCTGGTTCTGGGGCTCTACTCTGCTCTGCTCTCGAGCATAATGAACAAAATGGGAAGCATTAAATTGCAAATTTATTGAACGAACACTGGAGCTGGCGCTGGTAGCTGTCGACCCAGAGACAGATGCGAGACCAGGCAATGGGCATAAGCAAAACTGTTACTTTGAGACAGCATATACCCAAAAAAATGTGAAAGAAAAGCGAAGAAAATATACTATAATTGAAGGAAATAGTCAACGCACATGGTGCCACAGTTTATGGATGCCTCGTTTGGCTTTTTGATTTGCCCAGGCACAGACTCAGGGTCACACACACACACACACATGCACAATTTCATAATGCAATTACCGCAACAGCCGCAAAATCAATTTACAAACTAAAAATATTTACAGACGACACAACACAAGAGAAGGAAGAAGGAAGGCTGGTAGACACATGCATATATGTATATAGTATATGTAGACAGATTGATACATCGGAGAGGAGAACGAGGTGTCGACTGGAGCTCTTACCATTGGCATCCTTTGCCTCCAGGCCATCAGCCTCGATTACCACCGCAGAGAGTACGATTATCTTTGGTTTATCCTCGGCGGAGGCATGCAGCAGGCGATAATGACGATCCGGATTGACACCAAAGGCGCGCTGTGCATGCAGATACATTTCATCCTTGTAATGTGCAAACTGTGTACCATCCAGCATCCAGCAACCAGACAGTAAGCGCAGACAGAAAGGAAGCCAAAGACGAAGCGAGTTTTCCATGTGTGCCAAATTACGTATACGCCGCATGTTGACATGGGGAGAAGGAGAGTAAATTTATTCTCATTTAATTTAATTATATTGTCATTTATTTTTAAATATTTGGGAGTAAACAAAATTATAATATCATTAAAATTGAAAAATTTACATATTTTCCCCGTTGCGAAGTGACAAAGTAAAAGAAATTTTATTTATTGGCTGGCAAAACATTTTTTCTTTTTTCTTCTCTTTTTCTTTTCGTTTTGGTTGTCTCGATTTTCTTGTCTTTTCATTTTCTTATTTTCTCTCATCTCTATTGATTTATCTTTCGTTGAATTTATTAGCCTCTCGACTTTTGATTTTTATCACGGTTCGCGTAACGCTTTCATCACACACCCCACCCCATCCCTCCCCCACTGCTGTTCTACGGCTGTTATTATAATTTGATTGCCTGGACCTGCAGTTGAAATTATGAGAAAACTTCATTATGATGACATTAATTCCACTTGGATAGCGAGGGTGCTTCAAATTTCAGACTTATGTTGCAAATATTTTCAAAATCCAATTAAATTATTGCGTATTTTTGTCACAATTTCTGAAATATATCACTTAGTTTGAATAATGATTAGAAACCATTTGATATGCTATTCAGGATGAACCCAAGTCTTGGAGACAGCGAATGATTGGCTTGAATATTTGTTCGTAATTTACGAAATTGATTTGCATTTAAATTGGGGTATTCAAAAATGGCTTTTAAATGGAAAAATCAATTCAAGAAAGTAATGCCATCGGTTTTGATTGGTGTTCTTTGCAGTTCGATAGCTTTTGCAGTGAAAATAACCATTGTTTTCAATATTACGCTAAACAAATGAAATAAATGAAAAGAAATTTAAATAAATTGATCTAAGAATAAAATGCAATGTCTAATAATTATTATTTTTTCCTTTTCGATGCCCTTTTTTTTGTTGTTTCTTCTCCTACGAGTAAGTTTTTCATAGCTCATTATAATTGTAACTAATCCTTCTTTTCATTCCCCCCCCTCTGATTTGGCCTGATTATAACCGGACAACCTTCAAGATGGAGAAACTTTCTTGGATTCTTTCTTTTTCTCTCACTCTCTGCCGTTATTACTTTTATTTTATATTTTTTCTTTTCATTAATTTCCATTAGCAAAGGTTTAACCCTCTGGTGGTCGAGCAAATCGCATTTACTTGTAATTATTTACCATTAAATGCAAAAATGGCCAACAAACTAAAGCAGAGAAAGGGGAAGAAGGTGCCGTCCCCCATTGAGACTGTGCAAGGCAATAACTTTCTGTACCGAGTTTCTCTGTGGCCACGTTTCTCTATCAGCTTTGCAGGGACCCGCGAGATTTGACCAGTTTCAACTCAATCACAGCAGGACGAACGCGTATTTTCCGCTTACTAGGACTAGGAGGAAACTTTTATTATGCTGGCGTAACCTTGCTTCTCATCTTGCCACTCCACTGCCCAGCAGTGCTCCTCCTATTGGAGCGACCGCCTTCTGACCCGCCCTCTGGGACCCAAGCTCAAGTTTCATTAGTTGTGCACTGGGCGGCGGGCGTCTAACAATTTTCTTACTCTTAAATTAAAAACGATAATTGAAAAATGAACTCGTGTTGAGGCAGGCGGACGATAGAGAAAAATATGGCGAAAATATTGGAAAATTCCTTTAGCAAATGGCAATCATCAATGTCGATGAAAAAGTAGCGAATTTTTAATTGAATTTTTGCACCCCTCCCACCTCTTAAACATAAGCTCGAGAGTCGGTCAAAAGAAATTGAGTTCCCCTGCCAGATGTGGAATGTGGGGTTGTGCGCCTTGGGTCAACCCAGAAATTAATCATTCAAATTGCAAAACGTCTTACAGACCCCTAATGGGCCCGATTAAGCCTTTCAATAATTTTGCATCCCTGCTTCAGGGCCCAGATGTAAGTCTATCTGTATCTTTGTGGGTGTGTGTGTGAGTGTGTGTGACGGGTTATCCCCCGAAATTGCCTTAATTTATATAATTTGTAACTATTTGCATAACTTCACCCATTCTCGCTCACCCAAATCATAATTTCATTCAGCTCTGGCCCTCACCCCTGAGGATATAGCCCCTCCCCCCACATTAATATTGATTTATCTCTGATCCACTTACCTGTCCGCCCGGTGCAGGGGCGCCCACCGTATTGGCAATGGTATGCAAGACCTCCGCATACAGCTTCTCTTTCTCGTCCTGGCGGTCAATGGACTCCTCGGGCGCCGGCGGATCACGTTCGTTCTCGGGATTAGCCTCGGCACGTGCTTCGGCGGCACGCGTGGCTGACATGCGACGATTTTCACGTTTCCAGCCGAGCGATGTAAAGTTCTCAAAATACGAGCCATCCGTTTCCTGTACCCTGTATATTCAAATAAAAAAAATAAAACGATAAAGTAGAGGCTTATCCATATGTGCAAGGGGGTGTGCAAGAGAGGAGGGTGGTGGGGGGGACTCCATTCTGGACTCCATTCGATACGAGTCGTATCAAAGAATATTCAAATTGACTGCCTGTCCCTGTCAGTTCGGTGTCTGACTTTAATTGGGACTGTCAATATGCTCTTCTCTGCGCATAAAAGTGACATTGTCCGTGCCGTACCTATTTCAACATTGATAAGGGTCGCCTGTTGCCCGGACTACGCTACCCTTGGCCCCTCGTATCTCATACCCATACCACGTACCACTGCATGCCTACCCCCCAATCTCGCCCTGAGCCGCTAATTGTATACAAATATTCAGAAGTTTGCATATTTGATTGAAAGTTTCAGTGCGAGTGTGTGGCGGGAGGAAGTGGGTGGGTGGAACGGGTCCTAACTAGGCCTAGACACGATAGCTGGGATGCTCAACCTAATCATTTGATTTGCATGCCTCACCCACACACACAGGCAACAGACACACAGACGCACAGCACCACAGACGCATACCATACCATCTGTGGGGTAAATCCCCTATCAGAGCAGATGTGGCAAAGAAAAGTTGAGCAAAACTTTGCGCACTCAGCACGGGAAACAGCTAAGCGGCTTAACTTTGTCGCCGGCGATGATGATTTTTTACGTTTACGTTACTTTTATGGGGCAAACAAAAATAAACCCAAGCGATGAGTCCCCACAGTAGGCAACACTTTCTGTCGACACCCTGAAATGTAGGCAACACTTTTTGTGAGCACCTCTCTGTCTCTGGGTGTATTTGTGTGTGGGAGTTACGTGTGGGTAGGGCGTGTGAAAATGGTCAACTTAATTGCCGTAAATGATAGGGTAGACTGTGCAGACACTGCCCAGGACACTAACTGCATTGTTTGAAGTTGTACCGGACCGTACTGTGCCCCTCTCTGGGAAAAGTTTTAATTTCAAACTTTTCCGCGCAGTTGTTTATTTTGCTATTTTATTTTCCTTCATCGCTGCCCTTGCTTTGCTTTGTGATTTCATCGCTTCCAGAGACACTCAATTTCGGTTTCAATTTTTCAGATTTTTTATCCCAATTTTTTCACTGCCATGCATTGTTTGTGTGGTCCCTAAAAAAGTTTTGTAGTGAACTTTTTTTTGTGTGTGTATTTTTTTTGGTATTTATTTTGTCGCGAATATTTATTTTATATTTAACTTGAAGGTAAAAAATAAATAAAATCATTTTCGAGGTGAAAAAGTTGTATGCGAACCCAAACTTTGACACTAATTATTTATTTTTGTTGTTGTTGACTTTCTCAGCAAATGCACTTAAATTGCTGATGAATAAATTGTGCTATGATGAATTTATTTTTTGCGTGTGCATAATATTTAATTGAATTGAATTTTCGTTTGGGTAATTTGTTTCTCTTTGCTTAAATTTAATGGATGTGTGGTGACAAACTAATTTCGCTCCAATTAACACTTGATGCATTAAATATGAGAATTCGCGAACCAATTATAGATTAATAAGCCGAATAATTATTCGGCTTACACTGATAAATTAAGCAGAAAAATGTGCGGTTAGATGCTAATTTGGAATGTGTATGGACGCTCTGGAAAACGGACATCAGACAACATAAGTTGGCAGGCCGCAAGGCAATTCCTTGGCCTGGTATCGATAGCTTCATTAATGAAGGAAATAAATCGAACTGTTCTCACTCTTCATTAAAGCAGCTTGAAGAGTTCCCGAAGCTCCTTGGGGCTGCTAACTTGACTAATGAATGCCTTAACTTCTTGTGGAACACACTTCAAGCGCTCTTCACACATTGGGATAATCAAAAACACATATTTCTTAAAGCCATCATCTTACTCGCGTTCTTTCCACCGAAAATCTCATTTCGGGCTTAATTAAATGTAACCTGTGATCCGCACTCACATTATGCGCACATTCTCGGGTTAAGCAGATGCCGTATTATGCAAAGTGGATGGCGCTTCGTTCGCTTTGTGTGCCACAAAGATGCTGCTGCAGCTGTGTTGGTTGGGGTTGGGAGGATGTTGCACCTGGGCTGGGAGGATTCTCTTGCTCGTTAAGAGCAATCAGAGTGCCCAACCCCAAGACAGCGACCTTAAACAAGCTCAAGAACAAGGAACTCTCCATGTGGCAAGGGGTTTTTGTGGTGGTTGGGGGGTCTATGTGTATGTAGCTTATGGGCAAAAACTTTTCTACACTCAAAGGTTTAGCCCGCATTCGAAGGAAGTTGCCAGGCCAGCAGCAGCAGCAGCAGAAACAGAATCCCTTCTCTCTGTAGGTGGATGCGAAAGTTTCTTCGGGAAAACTCAAGGAACTTTTCTAATTACATAATTATGAAGGTCGAGAGCGGTAAAGTTTTCTTTTGGGCATTCGAAAAAAACAAATCGAGAAAACAACTGAAATTGAAGTACATTAATTAATTGGTAAATAATTCATTTTAGATTTCCAATGAGCCTCACTGTACCCTGTATCTTTAAGGGAATGTGGCTTTAAGAGACGCCTGCCCTGACTGCCTTCCTGCCTGCTTACTGCTTATTTATGGCCCCAAAAGCAGACCTCAAATCCCCAAAGACGCTCATTATCCTCAACTGCCTCCCTCTCTCCTTCTCTCTCTCTCTATATATATATTCATCCTCTTCCCCTTTCTTGCTGTTTAATTTATGCATTTCACATTCGAATGCCTCTGTGCGTGCGTGTGTCTGGAAGTGTGTGTGTGTGTGTGTGCATGTCTGGGTAAATTTCTGGCGGCAAGTTGAGGAAAATATTAACATTTCCATCTAAAGGTTAATTACCACCGGTAAACATGTCCCGGACGAGGTTTAGGCCCGTTTCGGCCCCTGTTCAGACAGACATTTAATTTCGAAAATCCATTCTGAGGCTCTGGCTCTCAGCCCTTCTCGCACATCAACTATGCATTAGGTGCCCATCCCGTTTGGGTGACTTTGGACTTACCCGGAGTTGGAGCGTGGGTCCACCTCGGGCCAGCTGAGGCGACGCTTGCAGAAGGCCAGCGGTGGGCGTGGCGGTGGATCCACTTGGTGCAGCGGCGAGTTGCGTTGCCGGAAGGAGCCGGTGCGCGGCGGGGCGAGGCATTCCAGGGCGCGTGATTGACGACGGGACTGGGGTGTGCCGCCGCTGCCGGAAGCGGATGTGGAGGTGCTGCCAGCTCCAGTTTTGGGATAACCTGTAGAAAGAGGAAGAGAGGCTTTGAGTTGTGCAAAAAATTAGTCTGGAAGCCCCACTGCTGCCGACACACATGCAAATCGATGTTGGGGGGAAGAACTCTGTGTGGCCGTGTGGCACGAAAGTCAAATGGGAAACGAGCCCCAGTCAAAGGTAATGTGCAGTGCGATGGAGGTGCGGTCCATGCGGCGTGATGGCGATGCTCAAGGCAAACGGCACTGCAACCGCAACCTTGACATGCATCTGTGTGGCTGCTGTGGCGACATACACTACTACACTCATACTCATGGTTCTGTACACAGTTCTGCAGTCTTCTAGTTGTTGCCCTCACAAGGACAATGGCAGAGGAAGCCCTACTTAGAACTAGGATGAAACCAAACCAAACCATTCCTGCGGCTTCAGCAGGAAATCGTTTTTTGGTAGAGAATAGGGCTCCCTGGCGCTGCAGCTGCCAGGAAAAGTATTCGCAAAAAAAAATTCCCATGCTCAAAGTTGGATTGGACTGGAATCCAAAGAACTGCCAGAACCCACATGGGGAGCCAGCAAATGCGCTTACACACTGATGGCTCTCGGTGGAGATTTGTTCTCCGTTGTCTCTGGGCCAAGACAAACCGCTCGTTCGTGGCTCGTGCAACAAGATAAGCCAATTTCAATTTTGATTCAAATGCTGTAGAGATGCGCCACTGAATCAAAATTCGGGCAAATGCCACCAAGTCCATGTCGATGCCTGGATAGTTTCGCAGTCGGCGGTTTTTGTGGCCAGGACACGCCAGTGTGTGCTCGCGTGGCTCTCTGGCTTGGCTGAGTCTTGGCATTGAAATGTGTTTGCATTTGCCAACTGCGACAGAAACAACAACCCGAACATCGTTTAGCTTGGCAAACAAGTTTTGCATAGCCAACAAGAGAAGCCGCACAAGAAGTCACATATGCATGTTGATTGCTTTCGCTCCACCAGCATCAGAGCAGCAACACCATCCTCTGCTCGCATGGGGGCGGTGGATTTGTCTGTACATTTGTGGATACCATAGCCCTAGCCCATGTATGTACGAGTACACGCGTTGGCGTGGCCAAACATTTGCGAAAGCGAAACTTTGGTCGCATTTGGTGCCTCTAACCGCCCGAGATATGTAATGTTATTTTCATATTGCGACTCGATAACGCCTGGCAGATTCAATAAACTTTTCCATGTTCGGCCATTTTGGATGGTCTACAAACACACACACACGCCCACACGCAGCAAGATTGTTCTTTTGTGTTTTTTTGTGGGGGGGTTTTAGACCGCAAAGTTTTGGCAGCTGATGGAAAAGTGAAAGTGGGAGCAAAGGTAAAAGTAAAAGTAAACGTAAGCTTTACTTTGGCATGAATTGTACTTTTTTTTATAGATGGATTTATTTACTAGATTCCACCAGAGGATTGAAATTTAACCTCCTGTTTCTTTGGACCACTGGAGTGAATCGCAGTTCTACAATTTAAATGGCTTTGGGATGCCATTAGAAAATCAATTAGCTGCCACTGCTGCCAGGGACTCACACCACAAGCCCTTGGCAAAGTACATGACCCCCCGATCTAAGCCAAATGCAAAGTAAAACTCACCCAGTAATGGATTTGTGGCATTCGGATTGCCTATCACCACGCCGCCGGATGGATAATTGCTGCCGCTCGCGGTTGCTGTCGCTCCTGCGATGGGTGTTGCCGGTGCCCCATAAACGGCAGCTGCACCTAGGCCCAGGCCCAGGCCGCTGCCAATGCTCGTCTGTTGCTGAAGCGGTGGGTGGCCATGTGACGGTTGCTGCTGCTGTTGCAACAGCAATTGTTGCTGCTGCTGTTGTTGTTGTTGAAGTGGCAACGGCAATGGCAGCGGCTGCTGTTGTTGCTGTTGCGGTGGAAACGGCGGCAGAGGTGTAGCGGCAGCGATACCACCAGGTGGGACGCCGCCAACGCCTCCCGACTGCTGCTCACTGGACTCCTGGCGGGAGAGGGAGAAGCGTCGATTGCCAAGTCCCAAACTGGAGATGCCACTTGTTACATACTGCTGCATGGAGCTGAGGAAACTCATGGCGGCATCTGGCGTTGCCCCTGCCCCGGCCTTTGCTTTATTCCGTTCTTATCACTTGCGTAATTGGCTTAAGTTGTTCCTACCCCTGCTCCTGTTCCTGCTCCTGCTCCCCTTGATGTTTTTGAATCCCTTTGTGAAATTAATCACTTGGAAACTTTTTGCGTATGCAAAGCCTTGGCTCTTACTCAGGCCCTGCCTCTGTGTCTGTATCTGGCGTCGTTATGTTTCATAGAAATTGGTCCGATTCTGGGGCCTAGGCAGCAAGCTCTGGCTATCCTCCCTCCCTGGTGGCAGCTCTCGAAGGCTCTGGAAGGAAGAAATTAAATGTTTATTTAAGGTGAAACTTCGGCTACCCTAAGTCTGAGATTTGTGCGCTGTTTTATTTTTGGCAATAATTGAATTCCTGCCGAGGTCCTAAGACCGGTCTAAATACGGATGTACGGTGCTCATAAATATTTTCGTCTTCAGATTAAAAGCAATTAGAATAGACCAAGGCGAACGGGCGAGGCTTAGAAAGGGGAATGGTTCCTGTTTTTTCACCATCGAACAACGGAGCAAGTACAGTGCCCTGCGATGCTCTGCGTGAGTTTTTGATTCCCTTGGCCACTCTTGCATACTTTTGAGGGGAAGCACTTGCACCGAATGAGAACAAAAAAAAAAACTTAATTGAGCCAACTTGTTCAGTTATTGCAGAACAGACCACCTCTCCAACTTCTGTCATTCCCCTGGCTGTCTATTTGTCTACGATTCGTAAGCGTCAGCATTTTTGTTGACTTATAGGAGCCGTGCGTCCTGTTTGCCCAGCCAAAGCCTGTGCAAATACAGGGAAAAAGGGAGTGGCGATTGCATTTAGGCTTTTGTTGAGTCTATCGATTGATTTGTGAACACCATTGTGGGGATCTATCGATTGATGGGAGTGAATGAAGTGAACCACTGCTGATTCCTTCGATTGAGTGGGTGAATCGTTTTGCTCACTTGTCGGCGATGGCTCTTAATTAAATTTCTTTTGAAGTTGCGCCTCCGCACCGAGCGATAGTGCTCTCTCTCTTTTCCAATTAACGTCTAATCAGAACGTGGCCTAATGAGCCATTTTCGGGGTTCACGGCTAATCGATCTGCATGAATAATTGGGCCATACAGCAGCACCTGCCGCCTGCTTTGTACGGGTCGTAAATTAGCTGCCATTTCAGCTCTGGTTTTGGCCACCAGAAAATACTAATAATAATAATTATACAACAAAAAATAAACGCAGCAGCAAGCACAAAAATAGTTACATAATTAATTACTTGGCTGGTTTTGGCCCTCATTTATGGATGAGCAAATGGTTTGGGCGAAAATGAAAAGGCCAATTGAACGCCGCTTGGTACTGCTTTTTTTGTGGCCATTTTGGCCAAAACGTGACTGGCTTACTGGGCTAAAAACAGTTCATTCACAATTTCACCAAGGAGGGGCAGCAGACACACTCCACTTCAAAAAAGAGAAAATAATTAAGAATCAAAAAAATAAATGTGAGAGATTAAGAGGAGTGCGGGGATTGAGTGGGGAACAGAAGGAGAGTGCAAGCAGATAGCAGCAGCTTTGATCAAAGGAAACGAATGAAATAGCATGCGATTACAAGAAGTGAGGGCGTAAGCGTCAGAGAGCGTCGAACACAGCAAACAGACCGCAGGCAGCAACAGTATACAAAATGAAGAGAGGAAATGTGAGAGATTGAAGCGAGAGAGCAGCATGACCAACCAACGGAATAGAACGAGATAGCAGAAGATTACATGAAAGCTGCCAGAGCGCACAAGAAGAGAACGCAAACGCCAGAGAGCCTCTAATAACGGCACCCTACAGCAGACCACATGGCAAAGATCGTTGATAAAATATTAATTAAATTGAAAACCCACAATTCCAATCCACGACATTTACCCGAGTTGATTCGGGGTAAACTATCAGCCCAAATGCCATGCTGAACAGTGTGATTAAGCGCACTCGCGGACAATGCAAGGAATTATGTTGTGCTGTGTGTATATGTGGAGTGGCTTTAAATGCTATAAAAGCAATGCGTGGGCAGCACCAGTCGCAGTGGACTTAACTGCTGGACCAGTGCACAGCTACAGTTGGCAAACAGTGGGCAACCAGCAGCAGTAGCAGCAGCAGAAACAGCAACAAAAAAACAGCAGCAATGATTGCCATTTGTAAGCCAGTGTGTTCGTGTGTAATCAGCGCGTTCATGCATGACCCTCTCACAGTCCCTTCCCTTTCTGGCTTTCGCATGTTATCCCGCTTGTGCTGCTGGTGCCATAATTAGCGGACTCTGAAAATAATTTGCAAACCATTTTTGTTATCTCTTTGTCTGTGTGGTGGTATGTTGTTTGGTTTTAATCACAACGCTCCTGCAGAGAGTATAATGATGTAGAACAGATGTTTGCAATGCATTACAATAATCTACAGAATATTTTTCTGGGGACTATATGAAAATTAGAGCATAATTTGGGGAGCTTTCTGCGGGCAACAGGTACTTATTTTTACTGCAGAGAATATGCATACATACATATGTACATATAAGGATCGCTGCTAGGGTATCGAATGTCTTCGACCCACGTGGCTTGATATTCTTTCGGGTTCTGATTTGTTTCTGTTTTTGTGCTGTGGAAAATGCTAAAAATAAATCAACCCAAGCACAAAAGTTGATTTATATGGTGCACGTAAAATTGCCATTAGGCGACAGACAAATGTATCGCAATTAAATGAAATGGAAACGATGGCAATAGCAGTAGCAACAGCTGTCCACCCCACCACACACCATATGGAAAAGGGGGGAGTGGATAGAAGAGGAAGCGAAGCCAACTTAGACTTTAATTAAGATTAATTAGTCACTAGCCAAGCCAAGCCAAGACAAGCCCCCATCGGGGGAGTACTAATGTATGCCATAAAGAAGGGGCCAAACCAAGTCGTTGTTCCTTCAATCTATTTAGTTTTTATTAATGATTGCGTATACGACATGTGTGTTGGAGTTTCCTGCACTAGGATGAGTGTGCTGACAGCAACCCTTATAGGCAAAACTTTTGCCTCGAGTGGGGGTTAGGGACGTAAAGAACTAAATTAAATGTGGATTGCACTAATGTGACTTCCGGAATATACAGCGTGGGCGAACTGTCACAATGTTTCGCGCGCTCTTCTCTTTGCCATGCTCCATCTATAATTATCCTCTTCTGTCCCTCTAGAGATGAGGGTTCCTTCCTGCCTGATGTTGGTTTTGCCGTATTCCAGTCAATTCTAGACACATTCTGTGAGTTGATTTGGTTACCACACACACACACACACACACACATTTATATATATATACAATTTAAAAGCATTTCATAAGTCCCACCCACCTGTGCCAACAATTTTGTGGTGGGAAAAAGTTGCGAAAAGCAAATAGAAGATTGAAATTGAAAACAGAATTTTTAGAGATTCAGTCAGTGGAAGTTGAGATACGCTTACCGGAAGGGTACCACTGCTATGAATATGAACACATTATGGAGAGAGAGTGCCTTGCATTCATCAAGTGTTGTAATAAGCACTTGGACGCAGGTTTAATTCGTATGCATACTCATATACCGCACACGGGCACCTTATATGTATTATATACCCTTTTACTCTTGAGGGAATCACAAAGACACCGCTAAATATGAGCAGGTCTGGGGCACAGGTCCCTCAAAGGAAAAGAATAACCCCACCGCCCCCCATACACACACAAAAAACGCGCGAGCTGGGGGAAAAAAACGAAGCAATTGTAAGGCAATTTCAAAGGCGAAATTATTATGTCGCTTTATGTCATTTTTTCCGTCAAGCCAAGTTTTTCCAAGGCAACACAGCAGATGAATGTGGTTAGCGCTCACCCCAGCTTGAAGGGGCAGCGAGGGGTGCGTGGGGTTCAGGAAAAAGTCCTGCCACTGGGGGGACTGGAGGTTAAGGGTAGTACGTGAAAATGACAAAGCAGCTGCTCAACAACAAACGGCAACGCATGCTGTGGCATAAAAATTTATTTCCACTCCTGTCCTGTCCTGTTCTTTCCCCCCTACATGATATGTGGCTTTAAAGATCGTGGCTGGGGGGAGAGCGAAAAAAAAAACGATGCTGGAAAACCAGCAGTAGGAAAAGAAAACCTCATTTACATTGTGGCAGATATGCCAGATTCGACATCTCAAAAGGCAAATGCCGTGGGATGGGCAGGACATGCAGGACAGGAAAAACCGTGAGCCAAACAAATGTGCGGCATTCAAATGTCTTGCTTAGTCGTGTGTGTGGGCGTGGCAAAAAACATAAATTACTTCATGCACGAGCTGCCAGGCAGTGAAAAAAAGAAACAGAGAACAGAACCTGATCCGTAGCCGAAGCCTGTGCAACAATTGTGAGGGAAATGTAATTTAATTGCCACCAGACATTGGATAATGGCACGACAAGTATCCCAGTATCCAGTGGCAGAAATAATCCTCGCACTGAAAGCAAAAACGCTGCTAGATTACCAGTCAAACATCAGTAAAGAACGGTGGGGCATCCATGGCAACGGATAGTTGATGAAATGAGCGTGAATGGCCTGAAATGTGATGCAGAAAAAAAACCTTGCACTTCTCAGAGCAAGAGAGAGAGGGAGAGAAAGAAAGCCGTATAGCAGGACTGGCACCCACCGACACACCCACTGTCGTTGAGCTTCTCATTTTTCCGCATCATCAGCATTGGCATCATCATCATCATAAATCACCAGAGTGCAGCATATGCATCACTTTCCACACTTTCATTCAGCAAGCTCTTTGTTTGCTTTGGCAATTTGTAGTCAGCATGTAGCCTGAGAAGCAGCAGCAGCAGAAGCAGAAGGACAAGGACTCCCATAGACTTGGCCGTCCACTGTCAAATGCAATAAACCAGATCCTTTTGTGTGGCCCTACAAGATGCTGAAGCTGGACAAACAGCAATAGCAACAGCAGCAGCAGCAACAATAGATACGACAAATATTGTGGGAGTGTGGGAGTCCATACAGCCCCAGTAAATGCCAAGGAGGCCATGAGTAATGTGGTCCAAGCATGCAAAAGTGCCAAGCCGGAAGCCCAAGGACTGGACTGTCGTCTTGCCTTTGATAAATGCTCAGCAAGGAAAGGGTCACCTGGCCTGTCTGCTACCTGCTACATGCCGGGTAAATTGCTTAATTTGTTAAGGTACAAGCAGAGCCACACATACACACACGCAATTTTCGGGGCAAATGCAACAGAAATTCAATTATCCGGCCCGTCTGCAGCCGTCTCATCAGCTATTAATTACAAAGGCAGGCGAACCCCGAGGTTAGGGAACTTCAAAAACTGTGCACTCAATGCACTTAAGGCTCCAACAAATCCCGTATTGATTAATTGCCAGAAAAAGCAACGTTTTCCAGAGTCCAGGGTCCCTGTTTCCCCCTTTGGTAAATACTTCTTTTAATTAGCAACGCAGCAGAGAGTTGAGAAAGGGCTGATCAGTGCACTCACAAATTTTGCGGAAAGTTTAAGGCAAAACTTTGTGTGTCAAGGTGTGTTTTCTATGTGTGTGTGTGTATGTGTATGGTGCTTAGTTTAAGTTCTAATTAAATATTGGCTGGCATTTCCATCAAAATTTGCACATAAAAGGCAGAGAGTGGGAGACAACTTTCTCTCTCTTTGTGTCTCTGCGGAATGTCCAATTAAAACTATCAAATTACGTATACGACATGTGAGGCGTAACCAGGATGCCTAATTACGAGAGCAGGCAGTCAGGCAGAGTCAGTCAGGGAACCCCTGAAGGCACCCCATAGCTCAAATATCTCCTCTCAAATAATCCACTCCAGCGGTCTCATGTATTTGCGGCGAGGACAAAAATGTGTGTTTTGGCAAAAGAGGAGGAATACGCGTGTGTCTTGCCCCGGAAATTGGAGGAGTGTCAGCATACGCAACGCACTCGCGCCCAGACCGCTGTGTGTCGCTACACCCACACACAGAAGCATGCATAATTAATGTGACTGTGCGAGTGTTCTATGTCGCCTAATTGTCAAGTGTGGCCAGACCGCAGAGAATGAGAGCGGGCAAACGATAGAGTGAAAGAGGAGCCGCAGCATAGCCCCGAGTGCCAATAGTTAATTGTTGCCTTTGACATTGCAACAATTCCAAAGTGGCTCACCCACTGGCCCCTAAAGCAGGATCCGGTTGCAGCATTAATTACAAATTCCGAGCATGCTTCGCCCATTCAAAATCGATGGATCGAATGGCACAAATTTCGACTAAAGTGGGGGTTTGCGTCTGTAAACTTTCGATAAACTCTTTATGCTGTTAATTAATGCATGAATGGGGCATACAAGTTTTTCCTCTCAGAAGAGGTTCTACGCCAGGAGCTGTGTTCTGTGCTCACTGAACTTGAAAGTCACCTTGCGCTCTCTCCCAGATTCTTCTTCGCTGTGATGCGTTCTTTGACGCCAAACAAAGCCAAAGGATGGTGTGTGGGTATACTATATGGATTAGAGGTTCGGGAGGATGGCTTTCCTCATGTGTGTTGTGTGTGCGCCTGTGCGTCTAGGGATGCTTTGTTTGCCTCTGACATGTCAAACAACAAAAGCTGGAGTAAAAAGGAAGACATCTTCTTGGAGCAGCAGAAGCAGTAGCAGCAGCAGTTTTAACAGCGCCACATTGTTGCAAATTACAAGCAAATCCAGAACGGCTCAATGCACAAAATGTACTCGCAATGGGGCATAAAGAGTGGGAGAGATGGAGAGACAGACAGACAGACAGCGACAAATAGGGTCGAACAGAGAGACTGTAAAAGGTGAGGATGGGTTATGGTCTTGCCAGACGTTCAACGTTTCCAGCTCGTTGACTTGGGCTTTAAGTTCTTTTTTACTGGGTTTGCAAAAGGCCATCATAAAAATTGCTTTTTAGCTTCTGTTCTCTCTCACTCTCTATTTCTATATCTATCCTTGCTTTTATTTTCTTGTTGTGGCCACACTGCGAAGTCATTGGCATTGGCCTTTTTTTTGTTTTGTCCATTGCCAGGTATTCCCCCCTTTTTCCCTTTTCGGCTTGCATGCGCTTATTCGCAAGGGTCCGCAATTATAGGCGCTTTACACAGCTTATTTATGGTAGGCGCGCGGGGACGCGGCGTTGTAGGCGAAATGCACACAAAAAAAACACGCATACGCCGTGTTACCCGCTCATGCATACATTTTTGCAAACAGCCTCCCCTTTTGCGTTTTACTCCGAACATGTATATTTTTTGTGAACTGCATTTTCCGCGCTTTTGTTTGCTTAAACGCTCGGTAATTAAAAAAGTGTTGGCGGGCCATGCAACAGGAAGCGGGCGCAAGAGGAAATTTCCAGGATGCCAGGCATTAACAAAAATTCTGTGGGCCAATTATGGCTATATTTTGAAGTTTAATCTTTAATTGGTTTGGTAAAAAAGAAATCCAAAGTGAAATTCTGAAAGTGTTGTTAAACCTTTTTATTCCTTTACTCTTTTTCCAATACATTTTTCTCTTGATTTTTTGGATTATTTCCACGTTAATATTTAACCTGAACTTACAGACAGACTTTTGTTGACAAAAGGCAATCCCCCCCACCAATCACCATTTCCCTTTAAGCCGCTTTTTATTCGAGTGTACCTTTTTATTTATATCTAGCCATGTATTTGATGTGAGGAGTGGCTGAGTGATGTGTTGGCGGCGCATCTGATGGTTGCCCCCAGTGATGTTGTCGACAGAACGTTAAGCGGGATTAGGACCTTCGCCTTGCGCCGCTTTGTTTCCGAATACCGTCAACAACATCAACAAGGTGACATAAGAGAGAGAGAGAAAGAGTAAGTAAGTAAGCAAATAAAAAACTCCCACAGAACAGAGCAGAGCGGAACACAGCGGAACAGAGCGGAGTGGCAAAAGACAAAAGATGGCAGACATGCCCATATTTTGCATATGGCTTTAATGGCAGCTTAGCGGCATAAAAATAGCAGAAGTCCTCGAAGAGGGCGGCTTGGGCGCGGGACAAAGCAGATACTTGCACAAAGTAGCTCTTGTCTCGACAGGCTTGTTGTCTGCATGCCACACGCTGCCTCGCGGCGTCCAAAATGCGCGGAAAACTTTAGGCCAAAGCCCAAAGCCGTGGCAAAGATGACAAAGGGATGGCATGGCTGTAGCAGGGAGGAGGAAGGGTACAGTACTCGTAGCAATTGGTACTGTCAGCTGAGCAAAGTTTTTAATTAAAATAACCGAGCAATAAAACAGCGCAACACAGGAAACACACACAGAAAGGCGCAGGCAGGCGGTGGATGTGGCAAGGGGAAGATGGAGCCGGGGCTAAATGGGAAATTAGCAGCGACAATTTCTCCTGGTCACATGTATAACGCATACGAAGGGCGGGGAGGCAGTGTCCTCCAGCCGCCAAGTTCTGCGACGGGGTCCTGAGACGCAATTAAAATTTAACAGCACCCAAACGCCATTCGTTTTGTTATTTTCTATTTATTGTACAATGTACATGGACTCTCTTTTTCGCTCTGTACGCTCTTTGAATATTTATAGCGAAAAAGGTCAATGCAATGGCCTTGAACCCTTCGTCGCCCTCAAATTCAGAGAAATTTGGCGCTGGTTTCACGCCTGAGCTGCTGCTACTGGCCCTCTGGAACAGACAATGGACCAGCAAACAAAAAACAGCCTGGCCCAGCGCGGTTTGCTCATTAAAAAATCATAAATCAAACTGCAGTTAAAGGTCGCCTTTCATTTCCTTTTGTATAATGAAAATGGGAAAATTTCAAATGAAAAAAAAAACAGTCCAAAAAGTAAAATTTAAAACTAATTTAAAGCACAAGTGAAGGGAAAATTTCACAAAAAAGAAAAACTGTGATGATGCGTTGGCGTATGGCGGCCCCAAGCTCTGCAGCAAGATTGATTGATGACATGACGTCAATTTGCCTGAGCCACTCTAGTGACCCCCCTCCAACAAAGGGAAAGGCTCTGGGGCTGTGGCAGGATGTGCCGGCAGACGGCGGGCCCCGGGGGCCGACGGGCCCGCTGGGGGGCGGGGGGCGCGGGGGGGCCACCGGGCGGGGGGGGGGGGCCGCGGGGGGGGGGGGGGGGGGGGGGGGGGGGGGGGGGGGCGGGCGCCGGGGGGTTTTTGTAAGTTCCCCTGCACGGTATAATCTGCAGCCTTTCAGAATTTTCACCTCAATTACCAAATTTTATCCTTTTGTATCATTAAATCCACTAATTTATCCACTAATTTAACTAATGAAATAATTCTAGCCAAATTCTGCTCCCTTTTTGCTGACCATTTGCGTACCAGCAATAATAATAAAAATAACTTTCCTGTTTATTATCTGCGTAGCCTAAAAGCGTTATGCATGATTAATAAAGTTTTCTATTGTTATGATGGTAGTTGCTGCTGCTGTTGTTGTTCGTTCTTTCCGGCCCAGAGGCTGCCATGAAAATTATGCATAATTGGTGTCTCTGTCACCCCACACACATAAATACCCCCACACACCACACCACTCCACTACACTCTGCTCAGCTCTACTCAACTCTCATTGGATCACATCCCAGTCGACATGTTTGTCCCCGTGATGTCCCCAGTTGACGCCGGTGGCTGCCCCAAATTTAAAACAGAAAAAGCACTTGACAAAACGGACACATTCCTGGGGGCATGTGTGCCTGCCTCTACGGCTCTACTGCCTCCTGTTTAACGAACATTTTGCCGCACAGACACCTTCAGAATTATGCAAACATAAATTAAAGTTTCATGTGGGACAATGCACTGCATGGAAAATGGACAAAAAAGGGGAATAAAAACGAAATTTTAAAACACATACCGAAAAGGCAGACAATTCGATGGCAATGGCGCATCATCAACAAGAACGTTGTCGTCCCTCCTTCTGTTCCTGTCTCCTACATCATGTTCCTGCTCTTCCTTCTAATGTTGCCTCTTCTGATGCCGATGCTGAGTCTGTAGGATGTGATGTGGCTAAGACTGTGGCCTGAAACTGGGGACTCTGGCTAACGCGCGTTCGGAATGCCCGGCACGTCCTCTAATGCTGCGACTGCAAAGATAAAAACCAAGGATATAAACCATAAGAATCGGCCCGGCAATTACTTCGAGTGATGGCTTTCTAATTTAGGGCTTAATTTGTGTGGATTTAAGGCGCAGCAGCAGCGCTAACAAATATATTTTTAAGCAGTGCCATTAGATTTCGGACCGGTACACAGGTACAGCAGAGCATAGCTAAACACTTTATAGCCACAAAAAAGAGGCGAAAAAAATAGGAGGAAATGCCGTCTAGTCAACGTTACGTATACGACGCTCCCCCCTCCAAAATGACATGTACATAAATTTAATGCTAGAAATGTTTGCCACCCACCCACCGACACGGCACGACCCTGTCTGCGCCTGGATTCGTGGGTGTTGATTTGGGTCCCTTTTTTTTTTGTGTTTTTTGGTTGGGTTCCGTCTCGAGGCACCGTTACATTTCCGCTCTGGTTGCATGAGTATCCGTTTCCGTTAGTTGATTTCACGCACTCAAGTCCAACAGAAATAAACTAAATTAGGAGTGCACGACTCCCCAGAACCAGAGCCCGAAACAGTTTGTGTACGTTTTTTAGGCCATTAATTGCCTTGCCTTTCGGCTGTTTAAGTTTTCCGGGTTTTACTTTTCCAAAATCTCTAAACAGAGATTAGAATTTCTAAGAAAATTCAGATTTAAAGTATCCAAACGTTGGCCACTGAAGGGCTTTTGTGACTTGTTAGATTGATCCAAATGGGATTATTTTCTTATAAGTGAATTTTCAACTTAAATCGTTTAATTAATGTCCTTTCAAGACTAAAATGAAATCAAGCAAAGCTGTCGGGTGTCTGTAGCCTTTCCAACTGCTGTCCGAAGGTAGGATTTAAAGGCTTGTGTATTTCCATCTGCAAAAACATTTTTGAATTGGCAGCTGAAAGTCAAATCAAAGCCACAGTCAGAGCGAGAGCCAGAGCCAGCATGCCACAAAACTGCAAAACGCACGTCGCACAATGTCGCTCGTTGTTGTCGTGAATGCTGCTGGGCTGTTCGTCCTGTCCGTCTAGGCAATTGCATATGCCAAAGGAAAAACGAATGGAAAATCTGCTCTCTGCTGGCGAGCAGATAGTCCCACACTTTGACCATCCAATGGGGTTGCATGAACAGGCAAGAGCAAGTGTGGCTGCTGCTACTGTGAGGGGCACAACAATGCACAATGCACAGATGGAAATGTGCAACGCAGCGACGCTCCAAATGACAGAACTGTCAAAGGGTCGCTCTTGGTTGGCATAGTAGCCCACGGGGGACGTGAACGTAGATGCGAATGGTAATGTGGACCTGGTAGCCAGCTAAATGCCAGTGCCAGCTGTATTTCTGCACTAAAAGCTTTTGATAATGGGTAGCGTCAATATTGTGCCATGCTTTAATAACAATGAACAAGGGAAAAAAACAGAGCGAAGAGAACGGAAAAGGGAAATGGGAAAAGCAAAGCCACAGAACACTAAATTCATTCTCTGCATTTGACGAATGAAATCGAATACCTTTTAGAAAGGAAGAGAACCAGAAACAGAAACAGAATAACCACATAAATTCATTTGTTCTGAGAGGGGGAGGCTTAACCCTTTTTCCAGGGTCATACATACAGCATTTATTACATTTTTTTTGGCAAGCCCCACGCGGTGTGCTCCCTTTTGCCTTTTGCCATGCTGTCTGCCTCTGTCCGGCATTTACACAATATAAACTTTACACGTACAATCATCGCACATACGGGGCGTCGTGTATTTCGAGGGTATTGGTATTTCGGGCACGTAAAACATCAACGCATAAATACAGAAAAAAGCACGCAGCCAGGACTCGTAGCCGCAGTGGCGGAAGGAGCTCCACGGAGCTGGAAGTTAAGCCTGTCGAACGGTATGGCAAAGAAATGGCGTTTGCCGATCAGGAGACGACACAACACAATGCAGAAGCAGGAGCCAGGAGCAGGAACTAGTGGCACAACAGGCTGAACAGAGAACATCGAAACATGCCGATGAGCTGGAACACGTAGCGTGGGTGACTGATTGGAGTACAAGGACTGCAGAATGCATCCGATTGGAACTGGTTCGCACAGCAGAGCAGCACCAGGCACCAGTACCAGCGATTGTCGAGCCATTCAACCGAAAACCTGATTCGAAGAGAATTATGTTGGGAACTATTCAACAGGACAAGGGATATATAATGTGGGACCATAGTTGTATTATTTTATTTGCTAGCCTATTTATCATTTGTTTGATTTTATTTGTTCAGTTAATTATATTAATTATCTGATAAAAGGAATTAAATCTAGAAACATACAAAACAAACATAAAATATATGCGGATATACTTCTAGTTTTAGATATTAAACGCCTAAAGCGGAAATTGTAATCAAGCAAATGGAATATTAGCTGGAATCCAATTTAAAGATGTTCCCATCAAACTATAATTCTTTTGAATCCCGTATATCTCTCATGTAAATCCCTTAATACATTTCGTTTGGCATCCCTGGCATATGTCAATATTTAGAACAGGAGATTCCTCTGCTTCTGCTGCTCCCCTGTACCTTTTTTCCCTTTCCCAGTCCCTTTTTGGAGGAAATTCAATTTGTTATAATTTGAAAATTTCATTTTTCGTTATGTAAATTCGTTCGATAAGCCGCATACAGACGAATGCCCTAAAAACCGTAAGAGGAACAGAAACAGAAACACAGATGAAGGTGGAGAAAGCAAGAAGCAAGCAAATAGAAGGCAAGGGAAAACATGTGTGAGGTGTGTGTGTGTGTGTGTGATGAGTTTGTGGCAGGAGGCAGGAACAAAGGAGTATAGGCGCAACAGAAAAGCAATTTGTGGCAGCTTAAATGTCAATGCGAAACAGCCACGATTTCAGCCACAATCGGCATTAGTTTGCTGGCAACGCCGTTAGTGCTATTCGACTCTATATATGGTAAGCACCATGGCCTCTGTTGAGGCTATAAATAGAGCACGTCTTGGACGATTTCTGGTTTATTTTTAGCCAAAGGGCGTGCCGTGCCCTATGGATTGTAGCCTCAGGTTGAGCCATAAAAACAAAAGTTCTGTTCGGGCAGCTAAAAACAAATTGCAAACAATAAACCCAACAGTCGCTGCTCTACGAAGAGCGATTCCTACACATGTACGAGGTGGAGGATGACATGTCTTAGAGGCGTGGACTGGAGCCCCTGAGGGGACCCACGGGAGGTGGACAACACTGAAGCACACACGCCCCTACAGCCATCCCCCCAATCAGGTGCCAAAAACTTCCATGCGTCGCTTGAGCAAATTGTCAATGAATTGCCCTCTGGGAGCCAGCCAGCCCAGCGAGTCCTGTCTGTCAGTCAGACTGTATTCCATCCACCTACTCTTTCCATCCTCCTCCCCATCCTGTTCTGTTTGCTGTCCATCGATTGTTTTTACCTTCACAGACAGCCAGGCTATATGTAAGGATTGTGTAGGGGTGTGTGTTTGCTTTTGTTAATGGCGTCCGTTGTTATTTGGTCATTGATTCGAGCATCCAATAAGTGAAATGTCCTTGAACAGCAGGGCTTTTCCATTGCACCCTCCTGTCTCTCTGTACCTGTACCATCGGTGCCTTCTGTACCTCCCGTTCAGGTCTGGCTTATTTATTAATATTTCAATTTCATTGTCTGCCTTCTGTCAAATGAGAGTCATAAGTTTTTCTGCAACCTCTGGCATTTCTCATCAAATGTGCCCTGCATTAGTCCCCTGATTCGGCTCAGTGCAACATTGCGTATGATTAATATATACAAATCGCATTAAAGCCTTTCGGCGGGCAGGCTCTGGACCCGGAGCACGCATTCAACCCTAATCCAGTGCTACATCTTTACGTAGTCCGAGGCGGCTTCTATCTGCCATAAAAAAGTATACGATTATTATTATTATTGTTATGTGCACAATTGCTGGAAAAAGAGCAGCCAGCAACAACAACAACAGCAACGACAATAACAATAACAACAACAGGAACATTTACTCGTAAATGGAAGCCCAATGAAATTTTAGCTCAATAACTCAATCAGATTTCGACACAAACACACCCAAAAAAAAAAAAGAACGGTTGGCGGGTGAATGGGGAACATTTTGATGCATGGCCAGGGCAAAATAAAATACACCAAAAAATAATATATATACTCGCACTCGTCCTCGTGCGATATAGGGAATGAGCTATGTGAAAGCAGAGGAAAACGAAATGAAAATACCCTTTGGAATGAAGGGTTTGGCCACTCTGCCAACTTTTCCATCAGCTAAATGATCGAATTTTCGTCTGTGCCAATACTTATTTTTAGTCAAAAAGCGCCTCAACTGTACCACTTGGCGTTCCCACTTAGGCATAAAGCAGAGATGCCAGCGGGATCGGAATATTTAACAAGAATTCATGCATTAAAGGTGTCGTGTTGGGTCGGTCTCTCTGTTACTTTGGGAATACTCCCCTGCCGAATATCATATAATACCTGTAATACCCACAAAGTCAGTGTAATAAATTCGTGTTTCTCTGGCTCTTTGGCCATCCAATCCCCCCACCATGTATATATTACAAAATCGATGAATCAAAGTAAATTACCAGAAATAAATGAGATAAAATATGTGTAAGCGTTGTCGCCCCGCTACCTGTGGTATGGATGGTCAGGGCCGGAGCTGCCCCACAATTTCCGTTGATTTTCTTTTCCTTGTTTTTTCCCTGACTTAGCCAAAGTTAAACGCGAGACAGGATAAGCCACTAGTTGACCTGGAAACGGCAAGCGGTATGGTGAGTTGGGGACTGGGCTTGGCAATGGCAGCGCTAAGCTAAGCCATTGCAAAATGCTGCTCAGGTGAATGGCAGCCACTAAAAACCGTGTGGTATGACACGTCGCTCACTCACACACACAAACACACACACACACATGAATCTGTCTCTCTGGAGCCGTGCAGGAAATTGAAAAAGTTTGTATATGCCAGACATCCGTTTCAGCTGTGTGTCCTGTTGCCGTTGCCGTTTTCCCCTTCGAGTCGA